TTGTTCTGTTTTCCGTGCATGCCGATTCTACTGCGAAACCGCGCAAAAAAATGGGGGGGCCCCGAACGGGGTGGTGACCGCACCGTGTGGTGAGTCGGTGGGGGACCGCACGGTGAGGTCTGGGGGGGGTTCCAGGTCACCGCGCCGTTTGATACCGCGCCGTTCGGGGACTCCCGAAACTTGCAATTCCACACGTCACTTTCGTGTCGCCGGTATTCTAAGTTTATTCCATTTATGCTGTAATTAAATTCTCATTGTATTATAACTACACTCCACTTGTACAATAATTCCATTCTGATTGTTTTATCCTTAACACTTCATGGTATTATATTTGTATTGTAATCCAAGTCTAATTCCCAACCATCCTGTGGTGTTGGGTCCTCGTTTTGAAGAAACGGTGCCCCGCGTCTCCTCTCCTTCCTCCTCCTCCACCTCCTCCCTCCTCCCCCTCCGCGTCAGCCACGCCCACTTCGGCGCACCCCTCACACGTTTCGTGGCCCCATAGGGAGCTCCACCGAGGGCCCCAATGGCTGCGTTCGCACGGCGGCACCGCACCCATATCGGCACACCCCTCACACGTTTCGTGGCCCCATAGGGAGCCCCACCGAGGGCCCCGGTGGTTGCGTTCGCATTGCGGCACCGCACCCATTTCGGCACACTCCTCACACGCTTCGTGGCCCCATAGGGAGCTTCACCGAAGGCCCCAGCGGTTGCGTTCGCATAGCGGCACCGCACCCATTTCGGCACACCCCTCACACGTTTCGTGGCCCCATAGGGAGCTCCACCGAGGGCCCCAGTGGCTGCGTTCGCATGGCGGCACCGCACCCATTTCGGCACACCCCTCACACGCTTCGTGGCCCCATAGGGAGCTCACCGAAGGCCCCAGTGGCTGCGTTCGCATGGCGGCACCGCACCCATTTCGGCACACCCCTCACACGTTTCGTGGCCCCATAGGGAGCTCTACCGAAGACCACAGTGGCTGCGTTCGCATGGCGGCACCGCACCAATTTCGGCACACCCCTCACACGTTTCGTGGCCCCTGAGGGAGCTCCACCGAGGGCCCGGGTGGCTGCGTTCGCATGGCGGCACCGCACCCATTTCGGCACACCCCTCGCACGTTTCGTGGCCCCATAGGGAGCCCCGCCGAGGGCTCCAGTGGCTGCGTTCGCATGGCGGTACCGCGCCCTTTTTGGTACACCCCTCACACGTTTCGTGGCCCCATAGGGAGCTCCACCGAGGGCCGAGGTGGTTGCGTCCGCATGGCGGTACCGCACCCATTTCGGCACACCCCTCACACGTTTCGTGGCCCCATAGGGAGCTCCACCGAAGGCCCCAGTGGCTGCGTTCGCATGGCGGCCCCGCACCCATTTCGGCACACCCCTCACACGTTTCGTGGCCCCATAGGGAGCTCCACCGAAGGCCCCAGTGGCTGCGTTCGCATGGCGGCACCGCACCCATATCGGCACACCCCTCACACGCTCCGTGGTCCCATAGAGAGCCCCACCGAGGCCCCCAGTGGCTGCGTTCGCATGGCGGCACCGCACCCATTTCGGCACACCTTTCACACGTTTCGTGGCCCCTTAGGGAGTTCCTTCTCATTCGTTCAACCAGGTTTGCGGTACTCGCAACTGCGTATGGTTGGGTCCATCGCCAGGATAATTGTTTTCTACCTGCATTTTACTCGTGTCCTAAGTAGATTTTGTTTACGTCTTACTTGCATGGTATTAACTGTTAGTTGCTTTGTAATTTTCTCTTCAGTAACTGTTGTTTGTATCAACCCTTTTCAGTTCTCACTGTATTATATTTGAAATCTAAATTGATTACAAGTGCATTATATTGAAGTTTTAATTGTGTATCAATTAGAATGGAATCCGGACCCTTACCCTTGCCCTTACCCTTGCCCTTCCCACCCATCCCCAGCAAGCACGAAGGTGACGTGTGACCGTGGTAGTAGTAGTAGTAATATTAGTAATAATACGAGTGCTAGTACTAATGCTAGTACTAGTTGTAGGGATAGTAACAAACGTAATCGTTATAGTAGTAGTAGTAGTAGTAATAGTTGTAGCAGTAGTAGTAGTAGTAGTAGTAGTAGTAGTAGTAGTAGTAGTAATACGAGTAGTCGTAGTAGTAGTAGTAGTAGTAGCAGCAGCAGCAGCAGTAGTAGTAGTAGTAGTAGTAGTAGTAACAGTAGTAGTACGAACAGCAGTCGTAGTAATGGAAGTAGTCGTAGCGCAGTAGCCGTAGTCTGTCTCGTAGTAGCAGTCGCATTCGCAGAGTCAGTAGGCGTGGCCGTAGTAGCAGTAGCACGAGTAGTCGTAGTAGTAGTAGTCGTAGTAGTAGTAGTAGTAATACCGCGTATGGATGATAGTCGTAGTTTTTGGTTTCAGCACCCGTAGTATCCGTAGTATAAGTAGACGTAGAAGTCGAAGTAGTATTAGCAGAAGCAGTAGCAGTAGTAATAGTTGTAATAGTAGTAGACGAAGTAGTCGCTTTAGTCGTAGTAGTAGTAGTAGCAGTAGTAGTAGTCGTCGTCGCAGCAGTAGTCGTAGTAGTTGTTGTAGTAGAAGTAAGAGTAGTAGTAGTAGTTGTAGCAGCAGTAGTCGTAGTATTCGTAGTAGCAGCAGGAGGAGTAGGCGTAGTCGTTGTTGTCTGAGTAGTAGTAGTAGTAGTAGTAGTAGCAGTAGTAGTAGTAGTAGTAGGAGTAGTAGGGGTAGTAGGAGTAGTTGGAGTAGTAGGAGGAGTAGTCGTAGTAGTCGTAGTAGCCGTAGTAGTAGTAGTAGTAGTAGTAGTAGTAGTAGTAGGAGTAGTAGTAGTAGTAGTAGTAGTAGTAGTAGTAGTAGTAGTAGTAGTAGGAGTAGTACTAGTAGTAGTAGTAGTAGTAGTAGTAGTAGTAGTAGTAGTAGTAGTAGTAGTAGGAGTAGTAGGAGTAGTAGGAGTAGTAGGAGTAGTAGGAGTAGTAGGAGTAGTAGGAGGAGTAGTCGTAGTAGTAGTCGTAGTAGTAGAAGTAGTAGCAGTAGCTGGTGTAGTAGTAGTAGTAGTAGTAGTAGTAGTAGTAGTAGTAATCCGAGTAGTCGTAGTAGTAGTAGTAGTAGTAGTAGTAGTAGTAGTAGTAGCAGCAGCAGCAGTAGTAGTAGTAGTAGTAGTAGTAGGTAGTAGTAGGTAGTAGTAGTAGTAGTAGTAGTAGTAGTAGTAGTAGTAGTAGTAGTAGTAGTAATAATAGTAGTAGTAGTAGTAGTAGTAATAATAGTAGTAGTAGTAGTAGTAGTAGTAGTAGTAGTAGTAGTGGTAGTAGTAGTAGTAGTAGTAATAGTAGTAGTAGTAGTAGTAGTAGTAGTAGTGCTCGTAGTATTTGCAGTAACTGATGTGGTAGTCGGCGTCGGTCGTGGTCACCGCTCGCCGCCTGCGCTGGTCGTCGACGTCGCCGCCGCCTTCGCTGGTCGTCGTCGTGGCCGCCGCCGCCGCCGTTCGTCGTCTTCGTCGTGGGCGTTGGCTCCGCTGCTCGTCGTTGTTCTCGTCGTCGTCGTCGTCGTGGCCTCCGCCCGCCGTTGTTGTCGCGGTCGTCGTCGTCGTCGTCGTCGTTTCCTTCGTCGTTAACCTCGTCGTCGTGGTCGTCGTCGTCGCCGACGACTTCTACTATCGTTGCTATCATTACCACTGCCAATACCATGCCCGCGCCTGCCACGTTACTGTTACCCCGGAGGCCCACATTCCCCCGACCCCGTCACAGAAGTTTCCGGGGAGCGAGTGTCTAAGGCAAGCGCTTCAGTCTTGTTTTGGGAAGACAAGCCAGGGGAGGTGTCGCCAGCCTGCCGACGCGCCTGGAGCGCTCCCGAATGGGCTCGGAGGCCAGCCGAGCCGTTGTGCAGGCGGCGACGCCCACGCGCTAAGAGGGAAGCGCGACCCCCCCCCTTCACCGCCTGTCTTTTCCTCCCGCCATGAAGGAAAGGGGCCCTGAAGAAGTGGGTTCTGGAGGTATTTGGCCGTTCGGAGGAGGAGGAGGAGACATGAGGAGGATGAGGCAGGAGGAGGAGGAGGAGGAGGACTGAAAGGAGGGTGCGACGAGGTCTCCAGGTGCTCAGAGGCGTTCCAAGAAGCATGCCGCGCCTCAGCTCGGGCGCGAAGTTTGGACACTCGGGGCCCTACCGGGACTCACAGGCGTTTCAAGTTAATCGCTGGATGAAAAATAGGCCCTGCCGGAAGGGCCATGCTGAGTCTGGGACCCGCTTCTCTCATGCTGACACTCTTCTCCGCGCCGCTCGTGTCGGAGCTTCTCTTCTCGAGTTCGTCGTCTTCCTGCCTGTTTTGAGTCCTTCCTTGGGCTCTGTTGGAACAGTCTTCGGGTCCCTTGGGCCGTCTTGGGGCAATCCTGAGGGGGGACTTTCGTGGACCGTATTGGGGCCTCTTGGCCGTCTGGGGGGTCTCTTGCGGCCATCGTGGGGCCGTCCTAGGCCGTGAATGAGACCTCTAAGGCCGTCATGGGTCCTCCTAGAGGCCCCCCTTGCGCCAGCTGGGGGATCTCTTAGGACCGTCCTGGCCGTCGAGGCTGTCATGAAGTCGTCTTGGAGGATTGTTGAGCCATCCTTGGGTCCTTTCCTGCCGTCCTGGAGCCAATTTGGAGGCCACTAGCGCTGCCTGGAGCTACAGGAAGCCTTAAAAGTGAAGACGCCCAAATCTCATTAAAACATTCAAATAAGCACGCATCAAACGCTATCCACGGTGTAAACTATGTGCTGGGAGCCCTGTGGTGCAAGCTATGTGGTGCAAGGTACAGTCGGACCGAGGTATAAGAGCGAGGTCGATTCTGGGGGAGTACACTACTCCTGTTTGTTGGGTCCTCGTTTGAATTCGCAGCGTCGCGCCCGCCCCATCTCCTCCTCCGCTCCTCTCCTCCTCCTCCCTCCCCTCCTCTTCCTCACCCACATGCTTCGTGGCCCCATAGGGACAAGGAGGAGGAGGAGGAGTGGTGACGCCCCTCTGAACTTTCTGCTTGCACCCGACAGGTTGGCTGCGTGCCGACGGGGCACGATCAGGAGTACGACGAGACGCCTGATCCCGTCAGCAGGACCCGCGGGCTCCGCGGGCCGAAGGGGCGAGGCTGTCCCTCGTCTCGAAGGGGTGGAGGGGAGGTTGTTCCTCACCCTAGGGAGAGAGAGGCCGTTCCCCGTCCTGGATATTTTTTTAATTTGTATATATGTATATGTATATATATGTGTATGTTCACAGATGTCTACACAAGCACACATCCATGTACATATCTCTATGTGTGTATGTATATGCACGTCTGTGAGGTACGTACATGCATGCGTACATGCATGCACACATACACGCCTACATGCACGCGTAATTACGTGTGCAGTCGATTCCCTGCATACGTACATACATACAAACATACATGACTACATACTTACATACATACATACTTGCATACATGCATACATACATACGCACGTACGTAGGTACGTGCGTGCGTACATACATACATACACACATACGCCCATACACACATCCATGCACAACTGCATACACGCATACATGCATACACGCATACATGTAAGCATACATTCATGCAAGCATTCATTCGTACATGTATAATTAAACCTATTCATACGTACGCACATCAATCCATATACATACACGCATACACAAACACACATGCATGCATGCATGCACGCACACATGCGTACACGCATACATGTATGCATGCATGCAAACGTACATACATACATACATACATACATACATACATAGCCATTTTGGCTCAAGGCCTGCTCGACCTGGGGCACTCGCTGCACGTTGTCAGGACACAAGATTCGCCGAGGTTGCTCGAAGCAATGGGCGGCGACGGCGACGCGCTCGACAACGACGCGATCGTCGTCTGCGACGGGTGCTGCTGCTGCTACGACGGCTTCCTCTTCGGGGATGGGTGCATGGGGTGCATGGCCAGCGAGACCATGTGCTGCCTCGAGGTCGAGTACTGCTGCAAGCAAGGCGCGCCGACGCTCTGCTGCGTCTGCTGCGCGATTCGCTGCGTCTCGCCCACCGTGTGCATCAAGTCGCAGGGCCAGATGTGCTGCCTTGCCGGGGCGGCCGCCATCCCGTGCGACGAAGAGGTCCTTTGCCTGGTCGGCTCGTGCGGCATCATCTGCTATCCTACGATCGCCATTTGCAAGACGCTGGGCGACATCAAGGGCGGCGGCGGGGATGGACCCCCGGCCGAGCAGGTGGGTTGAGGCCGGTGAGGCCGATGTCGACAAGTGGTGATAACGACCGGGTGGCATTGCCAAAGAATAAGTATTTACCCGCCAAAGGGCGTGCTGGCCACCTGTTTGAGCCCCGTATTGATCCCGTCCGCGTCCTCCATGCGTGGATCGCATTCCTAGGCTTCCGTATGCACGGATCGCATTCTCAGGGAACCTTTGACTGGTTGAGATCGTCTCTATATGCACGGATCGCAGTGCCAGGGAACCTTTGTCAGGCTGTCTGCTGGGAGAAAAAAAAACATACATACAGACGTGCATACATGCATACAAGCATACACACATACATTTACATACACCCATACATACATAACTACAAACATACACACATACCTACCTATCTACATATACACATACATACCTACATGCATACATTTATGCATACATCCATACATCCCTACACACATTCATACATACATACATGCATACATACACGCATACATACATGCATGCATGCATGCATACGTACATACACATACATGCATGCATACATACATACATACATATCGCTGCCGCGTACACGGCCGCCGAACCCCCGAGACCGTGTGAAATATCCGCTCCACGGACCCGCTCTTTCCTTTCTCGTGCTGGCCCAGGTTTTCTAGCCCGCTTTCCTGGCTGGGGCCATGTTGGCTGTTTTGTCGGCCCAGGACGGTCCAAGAGACCCCCAAGAGGCCCCCAAGGCGGCTTAGGATACCTCCAAGACGGCCCAAGAGACGCCAAAGAGGCCCCAAGACAGCCCAACATCTTTCCAAAAGGGGCGAAGATGGCCCAAAGACGGCCCAAGAAGTTCACAGTCGGCCCAAGAGGCTCCCACGAGGACTTCCAAGAGAGACGCCGGAGGCAAGAACCATTGATTTCGCTTAGGCTTTTTGAGGATGTTGGGGTTCTCGCTTGTTCGAACTGAAAACGACCAAACACGAACGGCCGTGGGGGCCTCTGAGGTCGCCCCAAAACTTCCCCAGAGGCTCCCAAACGGTCCTCGAGCGCCTTAAGACGGCCCAGGAGATGCCCCAAGACGAGCCAAGGAGGGCTCCACAGAGGCCCAAGAGCCTCCCAGGAGAGCCCAAAGGGAGCCACAGGAGGCTCACAAGAGGGCCCCGAGAGCGCCCCAAGCCGACCGAAGCCCCCCAAAACCGTCCACGAGGGCCAAGGAGGGCCCCACAGAGGCCCAATAGCCTCCCAGGAGAGCCCCAAGGGAGACACAGGAGGCTCACAAGAGGGCACCGAGAGCGCCCCAATCCGGCCCCAGAAGGCAGCCGTCTTGGGGCGATTTTGGGGGCCCATGGGCCCGTCCTGCCGCGCCAGGAATTCGAGACGGCGAGAACACAGACAATTAAGGAGTTGGGCCTATGGGAGGTCATCTTGGAGCCCACTTGGGGCGTCTCGGGAACTTCTTGGGCCGTCTAGAGGACATCGTGGGCCACCCTGGGTCCATCTTGGCCGTCGAGGAGGCGCCCTGGGACCGTCTCGGAGGTCGTCTCAGTGCGGCGAGCTCGACTCGGTGCGGAGAGCTCGAACGTTCGTGCTCCCCCACTTGGGGCATCTCTCTGAACTGGGCCTCTCTTGGGGCCCTCGCGGGCCGTCGTGGCGGCCTCCTCGGCCGTCTTTGGGACCGCTTGGGCCGTGGCCCTCCTGTGGGGCCTCCTGGGCCGCTCTGTTTTGGTTGATGTTGGGGGCGTCCTGGAGCGCAGAGCAGACGAGAAAGCTACAATTTCTGAAGCACCAGATGCCAATCAATACTTTGAGCCTCCCTGGGCCCTCTTGGAGGGCCTCTTGGAGCCCTCTTGGGGCCTCTCGGGCCGTCTGGAGGCCGTCTTGGGCGTGTCAGAAAACGATCTTCGCGCGACTCAGGCTGTGAACAAGCCACGCGAGAAAACGCGACAGCACGCGCCATGCCCCGAGAGATTTGAGAATGTGGGCTCGCGGCCCCTTGATGCTCATCTACTCCGGAAGCAGGACGGGGGATTCATGGCACTTGAGGGCGTTCCACTTCGCGCCTCGCGGCGCGGTGGCGGATATACTGAGGTCTACATGTAGTTTGACCGGTCGATGTGTAGCGATACGCAGGTTGATCGAGTGGTCGATACAACCTCCCCCAGGCCCATAGGTAGTTAGATCGGTCAATGGATAGCGATACGCAGGCTGATCGAGTGATCGATACCCTCCTAACGTGTACTACCCACCTAACGTAACCTGGACCTCGGTGACACCGAGCCTGGCCCGCGCGGAATGAGATCGTTCTTTGTATTGGCAGGGGTGCAGCAGGCAGACAAATTCTTCACGCTTCGCGTACCCCCACCAGCTACGTGGCGGCGGTGTTCGCAATTTCGCATCGTGCCGCATGCCCCGGACTTTGCCTCTCGCCGCCTGACCGTTGTCGCGCGGCCGTGACCGGAAAAGTATCCCCACCAGCCCAGTCAGAAGCCCTGCCCATGAGAGCTGACGGGAAAAGGGACGAAGAGACACATCTAGGGAAACAAAGCGAGCAACCAGGGTGAACCGAAAGATCTCTGGGAGCAAGGATGTGGCCTTGGAAGCCTCCTTCGGGCCATTCCTGGGGGGCCGCGCGGGGACGAGGGGAAGACGAGGAGGAGGAGCAGGAGGAGGATGAGGACGAGGAGGAATAGGAGGACGAGGATGCGGATGAGGACGAGGACGAGGAGGACGAGGACTAGGATGAGGACGACGCGGACGATGACTCATGGAACCATCTAGAGGTATTCTTGCGGCTGCTACTGCTGCTGCTGGTGCTCTCTGGGAGTTTGGGGGCCCTCTTGGAACCCTCTTGGTAAACCTGGAAGGCGTCTTGGGATCATCTTGGAGGGCATCGATTACAGGATGGGGGAGTCCCCAACTCAGCTCCCCCTCAGGAGCCGCAAACCGCTTCTTGGGGCTCTCTTGGAGCGCTCTTGGGCGGTCTTGGAGCGGTCTTGGGGTCGTTTGGAGCATCTTGGGAGCCATCTTGAGCCAGCTTGCGCTAGCTGAGCCATCTTGGAGGTCATCTTGGGGGGGGGCCTCTCGGGGGCCTCTCGGGGGCCTCTTGGGGCCCTCTTCGGGCCCTCTTGGGGCCCTCTTGGGGCTCTCTTTGGGCTCTCTTGGGAGCCATGGAGTGCCTCTTGGGGCCATCTTCGAGGCTATCGATCAAAGGAGGGAGGGTCCCGATCGAGGCCCCCCCCTCGGGGGCCACGATCCTCGCGAGGGGTGTCAAACATTGGCCCTCCCAGGGGCCCTCCGACCACCTGCGACACCCCCGCAGAAAGTCCAGGCGAGGGGGCAGGGAGAGGTGTAAGCCCCTCCCCGAAGGGGAAGAGGAGTTGTTTGGAAGAGGAAAGAAAGAGAACATCGTTAGACCACCTACGCCCAGAGGTCTGGTGGGATTGGTTCATACCTTGGTGGTGGGATTGATGGGTACTTCGAGACCGATAGGTAGTGATGTCGACGGATTGCGGGACCGCCCTACAGATCGCGAGTCCGATCCGAAGCAAATTGCACATCGTGCGCCCGTACTTACCCCCAAGACAGTTTGGATCCCCCGATTGATTGTCGTACCGGTGCCCCAACAAGATACCATGCTTGATTAAACTCTCTTCGGTGCGGGCCTCCTGCGGCAATGGGGGCTGCAGCGGCCCCTTTCCGTGTAGCCGAAGCGCGGCGGAGGTGTTTTCGAGCCACCCGCGGCTTGCTTGCGCTGAACTTCAGGAGGGGAACAAACACACACAGACACAATGAATAGTCGACTCTCCAGAAATATAGGAAATTATGGGGAGTGGGGGGGGAAGACAAACACCCAGAAAATACAGGAGACTATAGGGAATCGCCCCCTCGGTAGCCGAAGCGCGGCGGAGGTGCTTTCGAGCCGCCCGCGCTTTTGCCTACGCCGCGCTCGGTGCCCGCCGCCTCGTTCCCGGCCCGCCAGGACGGGCAGCAAGGCGTCCAGCCTCGGCGAGGGCAGCTGCTCGCCCAAGAGCCTCTCGCCAAAGAGCCTCGGCCCGGACTCGGACTGCTCGCCGAGGAGATCACGGCAACGGTGGAGGCCGCGAGTTTCGAGGAGGAAAAATACCAGCCTCGAACATATCCCATGTCAAAAAGCGATGACAATCTTAGGGATGCGCCCTCAAAAAATATGGGAACCCCTAATATTGGCATCGTGATGCGGAGATGCCCAGCATAGGGATAGGGATATGTTCCAGGCTGGTAAGAAAAAAGTACCCATACCTCTACCCTTCCCTCGTTGTCCCCTTTTTGGGGTCTCCCGGGCGGCCCTCGTCGCCATCGCTGGCGTCGCCCTGACATCCTGGTCAGAACGCACCCCGGGAGAGGTCCGGGGAGCAGCGGCATCGGTACCGCTTGGTCTCCCCGCAAGCGAGGGGCGACGGATTGAGCGGGGGGGCAGGACGGGAGTTCCCGCTGCGATACTCAGATGGGCTCCCAGGGTGGGGTGCAGAAAGGGGCTTTCTTGTGAGGAAGCAGGTGTGTCCTCCGAGGTCGGGTGAGCATAGTGTCTGGGCGTCTGATTGCCTGTGAGGGCCGCGTCCTTCGGACCACGTAAGACGCCTGAAACGGCTCCCCATCAATTCTCAGGGCCTTATCCTCAACGCCATCATCCTTGCCCTTCTCCCATCTTCGTCTCCTCCCCTCTCTCTCCTCCTCTCCTTTAGTGCACACGTGCCAGCATGTAACAGGGCAGTCTTTCAATACACAGAAGCCCTACATGCTCGATCTGGCATGGGCCGCTTGCGTGTTCTGAAAGGGCGTGCACAGCGATTCCTGCCACATTACCAGTTCAAGCGACTATTCCATCATGCGGTGTCTTCGACAGTGCATTTCAAACTGATGTGGCATCATAGAGGCATATGCAACCAACTTGGATGTGTTGTTTTACCTTTACAACGCTGCAATGGGTGTCCTTGGGGCCGTCCTCACAGTTGCAACATGCGTCTGCGTTTATCAATACTATTTCAGACCAAGAGTATGAAAGCATGCTTTCCCCGATGTGTATTCTCGTTCTGGCTCTCTCTTCAGTCAGGCTGCTCTGGCATCTAGGCTTCAATGTAAAATCGTGAGTCTTGTTCGGCAGATATTGTAGGCATGTTTGTACAAGGTCGTCGATGTACTCCCTTGCCATGCCATGCGCTGAATTGCCAACGTGTCTGAGTCTAGGTGGTTTTGTATGGCCCCTTCACAATGGCCAGCGGTCGCGGAGCAGGCCGGTGGAGCCCGGGTTGGACGAGCTCGCCGATGAGGCGGAGCAGTCCCAGGCGTCGCAGGTGTTGAGGGATGCCTCGTGGAAGCTCCAGGACCGTCGCGGGCCCTCGGTTGCTCCTCGTCCTCGTCCTCCTCCTCCTTCTCCTCCTCATTCTCCTCCAGTGCATCCTCCCCCTCGCGAGGTACCAGGGCTTCCCAGCCCCTATTCCGTGGAGTGTTCTCCGACATGCCTGATCAGGGCAACTCACCTGGGCGTCGTTTCTGGATGGGCTGTGACATTGTCCCTCGTGTGTCGTTTGCTGGCCGAGGCTTGCCGTAGTCTCGCTTCCAGGTGTCTCGAGGTCTGGAGTTTTGCCAGGAGCATCTCGGAGCCTCGAGGCCCGCAAGGTTCTGGTCCGCCCGAGCATGGCAAGGGCTGTCCTGTGCTTGCTAGGTCCCACGCAAACTGCCACTGGCCCACTGGCCTCTCACAAGGCGCGCCATGAACGAGCCGAGACGGGCGATGTCGGGCGATGCCCGCCGCCTCCCGACGGCGGGCCAGGCCGCGCAGCCCGCCGTGGTCGCCTCAATCCCTTCTGCGAGAAGTATGGTCCTCCTCCTCCTCCTCTTCCTCCTCCTCCTCCTTCGGTGATCCTCCTCCACAAGCCCCCGACGAAATGGTACCAGATCCGAGGGCCCTTAGGGGCCACGCTGCTCAGCTTGAGTCGTCTGGGGTGGTCCATGCCCGACCCGCTCGTCTTTCGAGACTCGCAAGGCCAGGACTACCCTCTCATCACTACCTCCCCTGCCCTCATCAAGAAGCTGTTGCAATCCCAGTGGCAGTTGCAGTTAGACGTGAAGGCGGGGCAGAAGCTCGGTTTCGACGAGCCGCTCGACCCGTCGGTCATGCAGCACGCGCTGCAGGACAGTACAGTGCAGGCCTACAAAAGGAAGACGCTGCTTTCATATGGCTGCCAGTGTATTTGGTCTATGGCCGAGGCAGGCTATCATAATGAAGTCGAATGCGAGCTGCGTAAGGGGCCCGTGGACTCTATCCCCCAGAGGCTCCTCGAGCGCCCGCATACCCACAACTTGAGAGAGGAAATGTTAAAGAAAGAAGATATCGAGGAGTTCAAGGACCCGAGGAGAGGATCCCCATATGTGTTAGGATTTCAACTTCGACCTGATCCCATAGCTCTGAGGCCCCTTGGTTTAGGACTAGATCAGGCTGTATATTGGTCTCGTGATGGGCTGCCCAAGGAGGTGGCCATGCAAGGAAAAGTTTTCCACGATGGCAGTGTTTTGAAACCTTGGCCCGCGGTGTACGACGCCCCCGCCTGGTCCGTGGCAAAAATCGACGAGGACGGCGACCTGGCTGCCAGTCTCTCAGGCCCTGTGGGGGCCAGCCTCCCCCCCACGTCGCCCGCTGCCGAACACCTGGGGCTTTTAGTTGCTACTTCCTGCCCCAGAGTCACCGAAGCGTGGGCGGATTGCAAGGGTATCCTCTCGGTGCACCAGAGCGCCGAAGTCTCGCGAAAGGAAATGTATTCAGGAGTTTCAGTTCTGGCCAGGACCCAGAGCTGCGTTGCGTCCCTCGAGATCGGGAAAGTAAAGGCCCACCAGGATCTGTCGTCCCTGGCGGTTGGCTCGAGGGACTGGTTTGTTGCCAAAGGAAATGACTGGGCGGACAAGGTGGCCAAACAAGCGGCTGCCAGAATCCCCGCCCCGACCCAGAGAGAAATCGAACATTATAAAGAATGCCGTAGCCGAGTTCAGAGGCTTGTGAAGTATGCTGCTGAGGCGCTCTCCTTGTTGGCCCCTCTCGCTCCGGAGTCGGGCAAGAAGGCCTACGAGAAACCCGCCCAGAGCCTCAGCCCCCCAGTTGGGGCAGCGGGAGCAGTCAGCCAGTGGACTGCACCACCCCCGCCCCCTGGGGGTCGTCCTCGGCGTGCTCGTGCGTGCCGTAACCCCCAGGGCGTGGTCAGACATCAGCGGGCATGGCTTAATAGTCACTGGCTGTGCCTAGCGTGTCATACCCGCGCCCGCGCGGACAGTGCCCGCAAGGCCCGCACGCGTGAAGCATATCCAAGTAATTCAGTCCTGTTGTCAAAGTTAATTCGGGACCCCCCGAAGCACCATTTAATGATATGCGATTACCTTGATGTCGAGTCCTTCCTTGTCGTTTGTAAGAGGTGCGGCCGCTACAGCGAAAGCAACCTCAAAGGACTCAAAGGTGAATGCAAGGAGCGCTTCCAAAGCAAGTTCTCCCAAGGTGCGTGGTCCCTCCTGGCAAGCGGCCGTCATCCCAAGAGTAGTATGAAGGCCCGCCCCCGACTTTCCCTGCCCATCCCTGCGGCCCAGCTCCTCAAGGAAGGAGGGGCGACGTAGTGACGAAAGTGAGCGTAAGGGGAGAGCGGATGTAACCCTCAGGTTTCGGTTAGGGTCGGGTCGGCCTAACCCTAGCCTTCCTCATTAGCATGCGATGGTCCTTCGGTGATCCTCCTGCTCCTCATCATCCTCCGCTCGTCTGGGGGCCCTCGTGTCCACGGCGGAGCTCCCCCGGCACTCCTGGCCTCGACGCGCCGCAGGCCCGGCGACGACGTGGGGAGGGGGGGGTGCCTGGGGCCGCCTTGCGGGGCAGCGGGGTCTACATGTGTGGGGGGCGTCTCTGGGGCCTCTTTTGGGCGGCGTCGGGGCCCTCTCTTGTGCTCCTCCGGGCCGTCGCGGGAGCCTCCTGCGCCCGCTGCGGGGCCGCCTGAGGCTCCCCCCTTTGGGCCGCCTTAGGGGCCCTCCTCTTGAGCCGCCTTCTTGAGCTCCTCCGGGTGGCGTTGGGGGGCCCTCGTTGGTTGTCTTTGGGCACCTCCTGACATCCGTTCGGGTTGTCCTTGGCGGGGGATTGGGGGCCGCTTGGGCCGAACGGGGCGTTCCGAGAAGCGCTCGGGGGCATCAGTGGTTGCTGAATTTCGGAGGCATCCCAGGGGTCAAGTTGATGCTCCCTGGGCCCATGCAGGGAGCCTCTTGGCAGCCATTCTGGACTCTGGAGCCGTCTTGGAGTCGTCGAGGCTGGTCTTGGGGTCCCTCGTCGCTTACGCGTGCGCTCTTCGGGATGCCTGGCGCTCTATGGAGCCCCTCCTGGGGCTGTCGCGAGAGGCTGGGGAGAGGCCCTGGACGCCCCGCTCCCAAACCAGAAGTTCGGGGGGACCCGGCTCTGGGGGTCCCACGTTTTCCCGCGTTTCTGTCCCTCTCTCTATATCCTTTCTCATGTTTTTCTGCCCCTCTCTCTCTCTCTTTCGTTCTCTCTCTCTCTCTCTCCCTCTTTCTCTCTCTCTCTCTCTCTCTTTTCCCTCGCTATATATTCACAGAGGCATACTGTCGAAAGAGAAAGAGAGACAGAGAGACAGAGAGACAGAGGCAGAAATATAAGGATCTATATAGAACGAGACGGGGTGCGAAGGTACACGTATATAGGAGTATGGCGAGCAGAGCAAGATGAGAGGGCAGGTGCAGCAAGCACAGGAAAAAAAGGATACGAGAGCGAGGGAGAGAGAGAGAGCGAGAGAGAGAGAGAGAGAGCGAGAGACATACTGGAGAGAGGGACAGAGGTAGAAAGCAAACGTCGAGACATCACGCATTGGTTTTTGAATCCACATACAGGAAAAACGGCCGACGGAGACAACGAGAAAGAGGAGGATGGAGAGAGCGATCTGAGAGTGGAGAGGAGAGAGCGCCGCGTGTCTAGTGGCCTGCGGGCCGTCCCTCTGCCGTGCCCGGTGGCGGTGCCTGGGCTGTTGCGGAAGGTCGAGGACATCGGGCGATGCGTGTTCTGTTGATGTGTTGTAATGTCTGTCGGATCGATGGCTAGGATTGTGGCACGGACAGGCTAGCAGTCGCGTCTGCAGGCGTCGCTGCAGTTCTTGCCTCACAAACTATCTCTCTCTCCTCCCATACACAGAGTGCAGTAGGTAAAGCAATGGGATCAGTGGCATGCGTTTCATCATCCCGGTCGCTCACCTTCCCCAAGGACAGCTACAGCGGAGATTACGAGAGGCCAAGGCGGGGGAGTCTCTTTGTTTGTCCAGCAGGGGTTGGAAGTGTAGCATCGCCAGCCGCAGTACCTCTGACTTGCCGCTATTGATTAACATGCGCAGTCGCGCGTGCTTCACAATATCCGCGTAATCGTTCGGTTAGTTGCGCCAGGGATAATCATGGCATGAGCCGTGGACTCACAGGGTATTCGATGAGCGATGACAGACCAAAAGATGAGGATGAGGGGGCTCCTTTCATTTCGGCACACCCTTCTTACGCATCGTGACCCCATACGGAGATCCACCAACGGCGAGTCCCACAACCACGGTACTGACAATTGCATATGTTTCGGCCCTTCGCCATGATAAGTTTCATACCAGTGCCAGGGGAGCTCTTTGATTCCTGCAAAGCAAATGTTGTCTAGGAGCGCAGCCTGGTAAGCACAGTGAGTTGTAACGGCTCATGCGCAAATTTCGGTGCAGGTGATTGCCCGCCGATGCGTGTCGCGTCGGAGTCAGGTCTGGGCGAGACGTTGTGAAGATCGGGGGCCTGAGCAGCGAACTTCTGGGAACAGGGCAGAGACGTGCAGGTTGTCTCGCACGATGTCGATGTCGGCTTCGTTTTCGGCGTGGGATCTCTGCGAGAAATTGCGGGCGGGTTTCGAAGAATCGTGCTCTGGGGGAGGGGGAGGAGGAGGAGGAGGAGGAGGAGGAGGAGGAGGAGGAGGAGGAGGAGGAGGAGGAGGAGGAGGAGGACCAGTCATGATTTGCACCCCCTGACGCCCCCCTCTTGGCCGCCCCCGAGAAGGGGCAAGTCGGAGGAGAAAAAAGGGGAGGAGGGGAACGCGAGAGGGGGTTGGCCCCCCGCCTCCCACTCCTGTCGTTTTCCTCTGGAGCGCTTCCGATAGGACCGGCTCGCTCCTGCGCGCGAGCCCAAGCTGCGGGCGGAGGAGAGGAGGGAGCCAACTGAAGAGTCTGGGAGACACTGGAGGAGCCCTCCCTCTTAGACGCCCCCCTCTTGGCCGCCCCCGAGAAGGGGCAAGCCGGAGGCGAAAAAAGGGGAGGAGGGGAGCGCGAGAGGGGGGAAGAGACGAGTCTGCTGCCACGCGCTGCTGGATCGGCGGGGGAGCTCGCACGCCTCTCGCGCCCGGAGCCGCGGAGCGAAGCGCAGAGCTCGCAGCACAGGGGGTGTGACAGCACGCGTGCCCGCACGCCGCCGCCGACCTACTTGTCGGGGCCCTGAAGAAGGAACCCTTCTCGTTGGGAAGGGGCTCCGCGTTCCTTAAGTGTTTCACAGCTTGCCTCAGGCTTTCCTTATGTTTTCGATAGAAAATCGAAGTTCAATTTATAGAAATAAGGGGCCTCGTTCCTTATTTAGGGTTCCTTAGGTCTAGGCCCCGACTGTACATGTCGGGGCTCGAGTTGAGCGGTGCTTTGGCGACGTCGTGGACTGTCATCGCCTCGACGTGGTCTCGCGGCAGAGGCGGGCTGAAGGCAGCATGATGGAGGACAAAACCATAACGAAAACGACGAGCACGGTGCCTCCTCCTCCTCCCCCCTCCTCCCTCCTCCCTCCTTCCTCCTGAGCTCGAGCCCTGCTGCGTGTGTGAGCTCAAGAGCGACGCATATGAGCGAGGAGTCCTGCGTGCGGCCTGCGTCGAGGATACGTCCACGAAGGGCGCGGCGCAGATCTACTCTGACAACGCGTCGTCGTCTTGCAGTCGTTCGTCGTCGTCGTCGTCATCGACGTCGCTCGTCGGTCGTCGGCGGGAGGAACAACCACCCGGACCGGACAATTGGCGTTTACTAAACGGCCCTAGGCGTTTACTAAACAGCCCTCCCATGCTCGATTCCGTCTCTGGGCGCGTTTACTAAACGGCTTCGCGTGTCGGGGTGGTTATTATCGGGGTGGATGTTCTGCCCTCCAGTCTGAAGGTCGGGCCTGTCCCTCTACAGAGGGAACATTCAAGAATGGTAAAACAATTATCTGGGGGCGATGTTGGGGGTATTATTGCGAAGGCCTGACGGCCGGTGCCGCCGACCCTGTTCGCAATGCGCAGCAAGAGGCACGGGCTGTGGGATGGTTTGGGGGAACGGGGAGAAGGACGAGAAGGTGGGGGAGGGAGGTGTCGTATCTGACCCGGGACTTCCCCGGGACTCCCCCGGGACCCCCCCCGGGACCTCCTCTCCCCCCCCCGTCGGGGAAGGGAAAGGGAAGGGGCTTCCCTTCGACTCAATGACGACGTTGCTCAAGGTCGGTACGGGGGGGGGGCGTCGTATCTGACTCGGGGGGGGTCGCTACCCCCCCCGCTACCCCCCCCCCCTCCCGGCGGGGGAGGAATGAAAGGGAAGGGGCTTCCCTTCGACTCAATTACGAGGTTGCTCAAGGTCGGCTTGGCTGGAGCCCAGGGGAAGAGGAGTCCCAGGGGGGGGCGTCGTATCTGACCCGGGGGGGGGGTCGCACCCCCCCCCCCTCCCGGCGGGGGAGGGATCAAAGGGAAGGGGCTTCCCTTCGACTCAATTACGAGGTTGCTCAAGGTCGGCTTGGCTGGAGCCCAGGGGAAGAGGAGTCCCAGGGGGGGGCGTCGTATCTGACCCGGGGGGGGGGTCGCTACCCCCCCCCCCCCTCCCGGCGGGGGAGGGATCAAAGGGAAGGGGCTTCCCTTCGACTCAATTACGAGGTTGCTCAAGGTCGGCTTGGCTGGAGCCCAGGGGAAGAGGAGTCCCAGGGGGGGGCGTCGTATCTGACCCGGGGGGGGGGTCGCTACCCCCCCCCCCCCTCCCGGCGGGGGAGGGATCAAAGGGAAGGGGCTTCCCTTCGACTCAATTACGAGGTTGCTCAAGGTCGGCTTGGCTGGAGCCCAGGGGAAGAGGAGTCCCAGGGGGGGGCGTCGTATCTGACCCGGGGGGGGGGTCGCTACCCCCCCCCCCTCCCGGCGGGGGAGGGATCAAAGGGAAGGGGCTTCCCTTCGACTCAATTACGAGGTTGCTCAAGGTCGGCTTGGCTGGAGCCCAGGGGAAGAGGAGTCCCAGGGGGGGGCGTCGTATCTGACCCGGGGGGGGGGTCGTCCCCCAAAGGGGGGCGTCGCTATCTGGGGGGGGGGTCGCTGGGGGGGGGTCGCTACCCCCCCCCCCCTCCCGGCGGGGGAGGGATCAAAGGGAAGGGGCTTCCCTTCGACTCAATTACGAGGTTGCTCAAGGTCGGCTTGGCTGGAGCCCAGGGGAAGAGGAGTCCCAGGGGGGGGCGTCGTATCTGACCCGGGGGGGGGTCGCTACCCCCCCCCCCTCCCGGCGGGGGAGGGATCAAAGGGAAGGGGCTTCCCTTCGACTCAATTACGAGGTTGCTCAAGGTCGGCTTGGCTGGAGCCCAGGGGAAGAGGTCTCCCAGGGAAAGGGAAGGACAGAGACGACGAGTACAAAGAATGACGGAGATGACGGCTCGAACGGAAAAGCCCCTCACACACGCCGACAGGGTCGGTGGATTTGACCATTGGAGCCTATTTTTGAAGTATTTTTTAGTTTTCGTGGAGGATCCCCCTGTAATTAGGGGGACACGCCCGACTCAACTCTTAGCCGTCGTCGTCGGCCCCAGCGTGGCCGGCCGTCGGCCGTGCGGAGCCCGCGCCTCCCTCGGCGCAGGCGTCTCGCGATGTCCGACGCTCCGATAGAGACGACCGACCGCTTCTCCATGGCCGAGAAGGACGCGGCCACGGTGGAGAGCATCAAGCAGTGGGGATGGGGCAGGGTCAAGTCGGGCCTGTCCATCTACAGGGGGAGTGTTCAAACATTGTCCAGAAGTAGTCTGGGGACCATGTTTCCAATAGCTGTCCGCCATTTGGGAGTGTTTGTGGGGCATGTTTTATTTTTCGTCGAGAATCTCCCTGTAGGGGGACAGGCCCGACTTGAGGGTAGGGACGACGACCACAGTTGATGAGGGTGCTGCCACGGCACAGTCCTCAGGACGAGCAGCGACAGCAGGTGCGGTCGATACCAGCTGGACGTTGTGCGCGAGCAGTGCGTGGGTTTGCCCGGCGAAGTGGCTTCGTCGTCTTCTTCTTCCTCCCTTTACACCCCCTAATCCTTCTCTCGTTCTGTTCATGTCCCATCCTGCCACTGCCGGTCGTTCGCCTCCGCCTCATCGGCGCCTCCGCCCAATCGGTCTCCTTCCTGTTCTCTAACGCGTCCTCGGGCCCTTGCCGTGGAGGGGGGGCCGTCGAAGTCTGGCAGGATCCGCCTTGAAGGATAGGGGTCCTGACGTAAAAGGCTCCTGGTCTTAGGTCGGGCCTGTCCCTCTACAGGGGGAATATTCAAAAATAGTAAAAAGATAGTCTGGGGACTATTTTTTGAGTATCTGGGGGCATCTTTTGAGCATTTTTGGGGTATTTTTTATTTCTCGTGTAGGGGGACACGCCCGAAATAATCCTGGTCCCTGGGGCTTCCCCAAGGACAAGTTGTTCATCCTGCGCAGCTCTCCTTGACGCTCGCGGCGCCCGTTGGCCAGGATCGTTGAGATTGCGAAGGCCTTGCGGCCGGTGCCGCCGACTTTGAAGGGGGCGACGACGGCGGCGGTGGCGACAATCACGACGACGCCGACGCGGGTCGGAGTCTTCGTGGATGCTCCATGGGGTCTCTTCGGAGTGCTCGCGGAGACCTCTGCGAGCAGGTCTTGGGCCTCTTTGAAGTCTCTCTGGGGGGCGCTCTCGGGAACCTCTGAGGTACAGCTTGGGATTGTTAAGTTCAGGAGGGGGAAGACACAGAGACACAATGAATCGTCGATTCCGGGGAAACTATGGGAAACTATGGAAAGTGGGGGGGAAGACGAAAACCCAGAAAATATGAGAAAAGATCGGGAATCCTTGTATTTTTGTGTATTTACTTGTGTGTCCCTGGGCCCCTTGATTTATATTTTGTTCGAGGGGGGCCTTTTCGCGGGCCGTCAAGAGCTGTGACGGAGGATTGCTCCCCGTCTGTCGGCCGTCTCCCGACCGAGGTGAGAAGTGAGAGCCAGTCAGCACTGATATTTCGGCTCAGGGGTGAAAGGGGCCCCCCTGCAAAATGGCAAACAATACATCATGAAGATGGCTTGCTTTCTCCTGGCGACCTCACGCCTCGCGAGCGTCTCACCACGCAGTAAACCATTGGCGCGACAGCGTCTGAGCAATACCCCTGGCCCCTTTTCACCCCGAAGCTTGCTCGTCTGGTCGGGACGATCGAAATGAGTACGGAAAGAATAGGTACGACAGTTCCTGTTCATTGTGAACAGGGCTCGCTGTTCGCGCCGCCGCGGACGTGATTAGTTGGAGACAGAGGGCCGCCTGCCCAACAGCGGCCGCTGCCGGTTCTGGACGACATTTGTAGTTGTTGGGCACTGTAACCATTTTTTCCCGTACCCACTTCGGGCGCCCAGATTTGGGAGGGCTGTGACCTTTCCCCCTTCTTTATCATGGAATCCAGAGCAATGGGACAGGGGTCAGGAGGGGAAAAAACACACAGACACAATTAATCGTCGATTCCCAGGGAAATGCGGAAAAATATGGGAAGTGGGGGGAGATAAAACCCAGAAAATATTGGAAAATATTCTGAATCTTTTTATTTGTGCGTATTTCCCCAATCAGAGCTTGCCTCTGTAGGGGTCCTAGCGGATTCATATGGTTAGGTTAGGTTTGCCGCCGATTTTCGCTGCACGCCCGGGTGCTCGGGGGTGCGTGCCCGGGTGCCCGGGCGTGCCCGGGCGTGCCCAGGGGTGCCCGGGTGCCCGCCCGGTAGCCTTATAGCTTTATAATAACCCTAGAGCCTTATAGCCCTCTAGCCCTATAGCCCCAATAGCTTTACAACCCTACAGCCCTAATAGCTCCATGGTTTTATACCCCAATAACCCTATGGCCTTCTAGCCCTATAGCCCCAATAGCTTCATAACCCTATAGCCCTAATAGATCCATAGCTTTATACCCTGATGACCCTATAGCCCGATAGCCCTATGGCGCTATAGCCCTATAGCCCTCTAGCCCTCTAGCCCTCTAGCCCGCCCATTTGTGTGTCCCTGGGCGCCTTCAAGGGGGGTCCGGGGAGGAGTCCGTCGAGCGACGAGGCCGCGGGCTGGCCACGGGGCCGCCCGACGCTGCACGGGTGTCCTGCCCCGCTGCTCCCTGCTTCGAGGGTCCTTTGGACCGATGCTCGGGCGTCTTGCGCATGAGGAGAGGTGCACCTCCTTCCAGTCAAGACGCTGAATCGAGGAACAGTTGAGGTTCGGAAAAGGGCTCGACGTCCCCTGGGTTCCTCCAGTGCCGTTCCTCTTGCCCTTCCTGGGGCACGGAGGCGCTTACAGGGCCAAGAAGGGGCTTCGTTCCTTCTTCGGCGTTCCTTCTTTCAGCGGCCGGACTGTAGTGCCCTGCAGGTGTCTTAAATGGCCCCTGGGGCCGAAAAGGGACACGAACGCACATTTCTCCAACTTCCCCCAATTAACGCCCCCCCATGAAGTGACGCCCACGACGTGCTGTGCCCAACCGTCGCAAAGCTAGTGCAGCAGTTCATTTCGGGTGCCGTGTCGTGGTTTTTGTTTGGTTCGGTCAGGACATCTTTTAGGTGTTCGCAGGGCAGGGTCTACAATTTGAGGCTGGGCGTCGCAGTCTCACCTGCGCTCCGGGTATGTGGTCGCGGCCATTGTCCCCACGCAGCGGTCTCATCCTCGCCGCGTGAAGTCACGAGTGCGAAAACATCACGCCTCGGGAGTGGGGTGATTTGTCAGTAGAGTACAGTCAAAAACCCTAATAAGGACGCGCGACTTTGCTCAGGGTACCCTTGCGTCCTTGCTCTTCCTTGCTCTTGCGTCCTTGAGGTTTTCGTCGTCCGCCGCCCCAAAAATCCCAACTTCGGCTTCCAAGGGTCTTGCGTCCTTACCGCGCGTCCTTACCAGGGTGTTTGACTGCAGTGTGTTGCTGCATTGAGGTTCGCGTTGACGGTGCCCGCAATCATGGCCAGCTGCTTGTCGCTGTTGTCCACACCTGGTCCCAGGAGTACGCAGTCGACGGCGAGCTGCTTCGCAGTTGCGCTCTGTTGGACCTTCCGTGCACGGTTCGGAAGGGCGGCGCAGCACACCCATCGCACACGGAGAGCGGAGGGAGTCCAAGGAATGCGGCGTCGCTTTGCTACTCCAGATTTCGTAATAAAAGGGAGGGTGTCTGGACCCTCCAAGACAAGCCATTTCAGACCCCCCCCCGTGGGAGAACCCTCCAAAACATCGTCCCCAGACCCCCCCAGGCCCTCCAAGATAGCCTGGAAGAGACCCCCCCCAAAATGAGACCCCCCCTCCCTTTATTACGAAATCTGGAGTAATCATTTGCGCGGGAGGCTGTTATCCAAAGCAGCGTCTGAAGTTTTTACTGACCTGAAGGGCGACAGTTTTACGGAAGGGGAATGGGTGGGGCATGTCATGTGCAGGCCCCAGGGTCATTTCTGATTGCAATCCTATGCTTGTTCCACGGCGCACCGCATTCTCACACGTCTGCAGCTACAGAAGGCCTCCCTGGGTCACTGAACAGCGCGAGTCTTTCATCGGGACTCCGACCTCACCGAACATGTAGGAGCACCCTTCAGGACGATCTGATAGTCTACCGATGTGTCTAATTACCTACCGATCTCACGAACTAGCGGTATTATATTGCACTATCGATCAAGCTGCTCACGAGTCTGATTGCATTAGGAGTTGGAGTTCGCGCAGCTGCGCCTCGCCCGCGCTTCTCGCGCGACACGAGCTGAGACCGAAACCGAGGTCTGTGTTGGGCGACTTCCCTTCATTTCGGTCCCACCCCCTAAACCTCCGATGATCAACAACATTGCCGCAAAGGCAATCTCGCTTGCCGTTGGCCTGTTGGCGGGCTTTCGATCCGCAGGGCTGAGTCTCGGCAGTTAAATGTGAGCATTCTTCTAGACATGGGGCGCCGTCCATAGCCAATGCAAGCGTAGCGAGAAAGAAGTTTGCATCACAGTCTTCATTGACGTTAGCAGTGTCCTGGCATTTGCATGTCTTCGAGGCAGTTGATCGCAGCTCCCAGCGGTGTGTCCTGTTGCCAACGAGCCGTTGACGAGCCGTGGCAAACTTGATGCGTGATTCCCCACAGAAGGCGTACACATATATCCTCTCTAGCGTGTTGATAAGAATTGCCCTGGCGTAGCGCCGATTTCGTTTCGGTCGCTCCGACCAGTCCTCACAGGCTGGCAATGTTTTGGCGTTAATTTTACTCGCCACGGCTGGCCCTCTCGCCTCTAGCTGGCACGGGTGTCATGCTCCTACATGTCCCCATCTAGCTTCTTTTTTTGTCTGGCCAGGTTTCGTTTGCCTTGGCTAGTCCCGAATAGTTTTTCTCTGATTCGTCACCGGTTCTGCTTGTCCCAGCTAGCCCCTTGTTTTTGTTTGTGTTTCCCCGCGCCACATCGCCGATGCATCGGCGATGCAGTGCGATCCTCTGGTCCCATCTTCTCTGGCTCATGTGGGTGGCCTTTTGACTGGCCTTTCTCACCCGTTTGGCGAGGATTTCGTTTGCCCCGACCAACCCTGAGCTGGGGATAGAGTTGATTTGGGATGCCCCGGTTCCACCCGACCAGCCCCATGCCATGGTGTGGCGGGAGTGCGGCTGGCTGCGATTAGCCCCAGCTAGTCCAGGTCAGCCCCGACATGTTTTGGTGCGGTGGAATCCCAGTTGGCTGCGACCAGCCCCGAACAGCCTCTTGCCATTGTTTTGTTGTTTCGGGATGTTGGTTGCCGCTGTTGGTGCGCTGGTACTCCGACGCCAGTCGGAAATTGAAAGTTGGCCCTCCAAAAAAAGAAGCATCACCCGAAGGATAGTCATACAGGTATCGTTTGTAGTCGGTCCAGGGTTCACGACGACGCGAAGAGAAAGAATTGAATCGTTGTCTCAATGTCGGTGAAGTGCCCAGGTTGTCATGGTCACACGCCAGTGATGTGGCAAGCCAGTTTGAGACCGGCAGCATGCCAAGGACACTGCAGCCAAACAGGAAAGAAGCAGCCAGCAATCAATTACATGCATGCTCAACCATTGTCTCAATGTCGGTGAGGTGTCCAAGGTATCCTGGTCGCCCGCCGGTGACGTTGCAAGCCAGTAGGAGGCCGGACGCATGCCAAGGACCCTGCAGCCAGACATGACAGAAGCAGCCCGTGAAGCCGGTATGCCGTGGCCCCATGATGTTCCTTGTTCGCGGGGTGGCGACGATACACACAAAGCAAAGCACGACCAAAAGCGTCATGCGCCCGACATCCTTGCCAGGCAACGTTGGCTCCGTTCGTGCACTCCTCAGCTATTTCAGGCATTCGTAACGTTTCCTCGTCCAACGCATGCTTAACCATGTTCCTACCATGGTATTTTTGTTGCCGTCGGTTCCGAGCCATCTGTTGCAGTTTACATACGGATGCCTGGCATCGTTTGCCCTTGCCAACCCCACATTGACAGTCGTCTCTGAGGGGATCATGAATCTGGTATTTTGAACTGGTCGTTCCAGTGGTGCGCCAGTTGCGTCCAATTGCCTTCACTTCAAGAGTACGCATCCTCTATTTTACCCCGCTGGTGGATCCCCGACCCAATGAATCCCCCCACGTCGAGTTGCGAGGCGGGAAAGCAAAGAAGCCAGTAGGATGATCATTCCACGAGTTGTCATTCTCAGTTTCTCTCACCACGCTCCTTCTAGGCGCGGGAATGCTGCGCCTTCGGGATGCCCCGGGGGTTCCGGGGAAATGCTGTCAACGTCCATAAGGCCAGCATCACAGGAGGGAAGTGGAGGAACTTATTAAGGCGCTCTACCAGATGGAATTCACTGCGGGCACAGATATCATCACTCAAGGTGGGAAGGGGGTGGCATGCAACTCATGTGGCCTGGGTGAGTGCAGCTCTGCGGCTGATGCGCCAAGGTCACAGAACATGATTCGATTACAAGTGCCGAGATTTGCCCCACGCTTGCCTACGAGCGGGACTTTGGACAGTAAGTGGCCGCCAGCTCCAAGAGCAACTCAAACTACGTGTGGAGTGCTTGGCAATACGAGGCAGCGTCCCATTCTCAGCCCCCACCTCCAGGTGGAGTTCGGGCCCTCGCGGGCGCACTCGGGGGTCTCTGGGGGACCCTCTCTGGGGAGCCCTCGCTGTGCCATCTTGGGGCCCCCGTGGGTCTCCCCGGACTCCTCCAGAGGCCGTCCGCCTCGGGGGGTCGTCCAGAGATCTTTCGGGCCGTCTTCGGGCTCTCCTCGGCCGTCTCGCACCCCTCATCAGGGGGGCCCTGCCGCGACGTCCTGGGGCCCGGTTGGGGCCGCCGCGGGCCTGGGCCTCTCCTCCTCCTTCTCCTTCTGCTCCTCCTTCTCCTCCTTCTCCTCCTCCTCCTTCTCCTTCTCCTCCTCCTCTTCCTCCAAATCCTTTTCCTCCTCCTCCTCCTCCTCCTCCTCCTCCTCCTCCTCCACACCTCCTCCTCCTCCTCCTCCTCCTCCTCCTCCTCCGCCTCCTCCTAATCCTTCTCCACGTCCTGGGGCCCTGTTGGGGCCGCCTTGGGCCTGGGCCTGCCCCGAGACGCGGGTGGGGGGCTCCCGTGGCGTTCCCGGGGCCGGCGCTTCTTGGGAAGGAAGCTTGGCATCGCTCGGACGTGTGCATTTCTCCTTCGGCGAGGACCATCGAGGAGCATCCTTGATCATGTGGCGAAAAAAACGCGCACGAAACCGGAAAAAAACAGGGAATGGACGCCCGAGCGACGACAAGGGGAAGCCAAGGGCGTATGTCAGTGTTTCAGTGTGCAGCCTCGGGACACTCAAGCTGGCAGCGGGTGGGCGCCTGCACGCTGCTCGGGTCACCCTGGCCGGCGCCTCAGCGGTCCAGAAGTCCTCCAGGAGGACCCTGAGACAACCCAGGAGCCCCCCCCCAAGAAAAAAAATCAGGAGGGAAAAAACACAGACACAATTAATCGCCGATTCCCAGGAAAATCTGGGGAAATATGGGAAGTGGGGGGGAAGACGAAAACCTAGAAAATATGAGAAAATATGGGGAGTCCTTCTATTTGTGTGTATTTATTTGTGTGTCCCAGGGCCCCTTCAAGAAGAAACAATCCACGAAGGCCCCTGCACCCTTCCGCTCGGTGCCCCAGAGCTCTCCGACGGAGCCCCCAGGATCTGCCCAGTGTTTCTCCAAGACGCCTCGAGAGCCCCTAAGAGGCCCGAGCAGACTCCAGGGAGGCCCCCGAGAGAGGCAGGAGCAGCACGTGCAGAGCATGTGTCCTCGCGCGCGCCCGTTGTGTCGTGACGGTGCCCCCATTGTGTGCTCCTGCACGGCTATCGAGAAGGAGGGGGGAGCCCTCGAGGGAGGGGGGCAGAGGGGGCGAGGATCAAGGGCTGGGGAGGAGGAGTCCTCTTCCCCATCCCTCCTTCTCCTCCTCCTCCTCCTCCTCCTCCTCCTCCTCCTCCTTGTCCTCCTCAGAGTAGACGCACGAGCAGAAGCAGGAGGATGGTTACAATGATGACGATGGAGAGGAGGATGGGAAGGGGGAGGAAGGGAAGGATGGGAGGAGGAGGAGGAGGACGACGACGACGACGAAAGGGATGCTGGAAAGGAGGATAAGGATTCGAGGAGAGCAGCAGGAAAAGCAGCCGTAGCAGGTGGCGAAGGAGGTAAAGGTGAACGAGCGGGAGGACTAGGAGGAGGGCGAGGATGCAGGGGGGTGAAGAGAAGGACGTTGGAGGCGGCATTATTCTGCGAAGGTCGCGATTGCCTTGTCAGCGCGGAAAGCAATGTACGTGTACGTACAGATGCACACGTCCAACGTCGATGGAACAGGAATTGCCGAACACACAGACACGTGCCCGACCAGCCGAGTCAGCCTGGCCTGTTTTGTGATTTGTTATACCATTGGCAGGTGTTGTTCCAGTAGGTGTCTCAAGGCCCCTCGAGCACAGAGGTGGCAGGGTTGGCAATCGTTGTCAGTCTGTGCTTGGGACGGTGTCTTCCAAACTGCCCCGGCCAGTATTGTACCAGGATTGCCGCCATCAAGCGTTCCAGGAGGACATTGCCGCGGTCCTGTCAGTTTGTCTTCCGTCAGGCCAGTTTCGAAAGTCCAAGTTCTTTCGCGCATGGAGCGAGCCTTAGCAGCTTGGTGCCGCAATCGCTACCACATGCGCACTCCAGACCAGGATTGATTAGATGCCTTTTCAGACATATGGGCGCCTTCACTCCGTTCCCCTCGCGATGCCCCCCTCCCTCCCCCTCATTGTGTGTTTGCTAGTTGCTGGTATTTGCCATTACTTGGATTCCTTGCGCATGAGGACGTAATGTGCCAGGCATGCAAGCACAACATGCGACGCGTACCAATAATTCGGAGAGACGCTTTGAGGGTCAGGCGATGACGGAGACCGTATTTACCTTATCGCAGATGGGGACGTTGACATATTCGTCATCCGTTTTCACGAGTGTTTTTTCTCTGCTGCTGAATGTTAAGAAAATGTCAGTCCTTTCTCGCATGGTCACATAGCCTGTCGGATACCAGTATATGCATGAGAAAGATGTCAGCATTGGGGATGGTCCGTGTTCTCATCTTGCACCCATCCATCGATCGGAATGGGCATAAACACGACAGGTGTGAGCATGATTCGTCCTTTGGGAAGTGGCGTTCAGATTCCCAATGTTTGACGACATTTATGATGTTCCAACCTACTTCAGCCCTGGCTGATCACCAAAAAGAATTTCGAGCACCAAGAAAGTAACGGATTTCACGTGTCGGGCTCTGGGAGGCGATGTTCGTTCGGCACCACGCCAGCGTGTCGGGTGCTCGAAATTATGTTTGACATGCGATCCTTAAGTACGATGGGAACAAAAGAAAGCGATTTGCGTATCCCCACCAGCCCATCCAGAAATGACGCCCAGGCGAGTGGCTTTGGTCAAGAAAGCGCAGGAGCAAGCAGTGGAGCAAAGAGGGGGGGCAGCCGTCGAACCGAAGATCGGGATCAGCCTGAGTAGGCCCAGGTGTCAACCATAGTTTAATGCCTTCGCGGACCTTTCAATCTGGGAACACCTTGACAACGTACTTGCGCCATCGAGGGGTCCTCGGGGGGGAACGTTTAAGGCTGTTGGGACTCTATCTTGGGCCATCTTGGAGGCCACCGACTGCAAACAAAGGCGGGGATTACGCCTCCCTCGTCGGAGCCAGAAAGTGCCTTTTTGAGACCACCTTGGGGCGCTCTTGGGGCGTTGTTGGCCGCATTGGGGGCCGGCTCAGAGCCCTCGTTGGACACTCTTGGATTCTCGTGGGCGATGTTGGAGCCACGCTGAGGCTTCAAGAGCCCATCGTGAGCGAAAAGGCGAGAAGGCACTCATCAGTGATGCTCCAGAGGTGTCAGGGTGGATTTTGGCATCTCGGTGCCTTCTGTAGGAGGCTCAGAGGCCACTCGGAGCAGTCTTATCTTGACGCAGGTTGAGCCATCCTCTCGGGCTTTTTGTGGCCGTATTGGGGGCCATATTGGGCCATATAGTTGACGCCCCCACCCCATGTCGAGACCAAAGGAAAAGGGGGAAGGGGAGAGGTCAAGACACCTCTGCCAGACGCAACTTGTTTGGTTCATTCCCACCCACCCTCCCAACGCGCAAGGAGTTCCCGAGTCTCAGCATAATCGGTGGTCGACTTTGATTGGGCAGCTACTGGGAACCATGACAGACCCCAGGTGCGCGACGCTGGGGCGAGGTGCGCCACGCGTGCCAGGCGCGTCACTCCCACCAGGCGCGCAAAGCGCCCCTGGGGCCCGAGCGTGCCAGGCACGCATGGTGCGCCACATGCGCCGCGTGCTCCACGTGCGCCCAGTGTGCCGCATGCTCCAGCCGCGCCTGGTGCGCCACGTTCGGGGCGCGCGCAGGGTGTGCCAGGTGCGCCCGCGCACGTCGGGAAACGTGTCGGCCCCCATCATCCTTGCCGATTCAAATGCACAATTGCGGCGCCAGGATGTCGGGTTGGCAGCTGCACAGCAACACATGTGCCAGCACCCCCGCCGTCCCTGTCAAGACCCGACGCACAGTGATCGCAAGTGTCCGTGCGTGATACAAACTTAGGCGTGAAGTGCAGATGTATTGTTTCTTGCAGGGATGGTGGCCCTGCGCACAGCGGGCTATACGCCGTCCTGGTCACAAAACAAAGCGAATTGCTCGCGGGGCACCCGATCATCACACAAGATTCTGTCGGCAAGTGTGCTCCGCACTTTTGTGTGTGACGGGGGATTCGCGCGGGTGGACGCACTGTCCCTGGTGTGTCGCTGGTCGGGTGGGGGAGGTGTCTTTGAAGAAGGAGCAGTGCTGGATTTCGCCACGAAAGGGGAGAAGGAAGTTGATGACCACAGGGCGAGTGGGATTGAGATCCAAGTTGCACGAGACAAGCTGCGAGTCGCGTCGTGAACGCGGCCGGATTCGGCTCGGCGCACCGAGGGGCACAGTGTTTGGGAAGGGCTCGGGAGCCAGCGTTCACATTACACGAGACGTACCCCTTTCCTTCTCCACGCGAGATGAATAGTTGTAGGAACGCTCCTTACAACAGAACACATCGGCAGACATATATTCATAACTATATATGTATATCTGATCTGCGCTGCCCTTCTCTCCGCCAGGCCTTCAGGGGCCAACGGAAGTGGCGACAGCTGCGCTCGTCTTCGCCTCCCGGGAAGCCGCGAGGTCTCGGCTGGATCCGCCCGGCCCCCGACATCCGCTGGACCTCCCCGAAGCCCATGGAAGTGGCGGTGGTCGAGCAGCTCGCAGCCGCCCAGGGAGCCGCGAGGTTCCCGTCCGCGGGTGCGTGCCCCCCCCGACTACGCTGGACCTCCCGGGAGCCCATGAGAGTGGCGACGGCTGCACCTCTCGCAGCCTCCCAGGGAGCCGCGAGGCCTCGGCCGAGTCCGCGCGTGCCTCCACCCCGCTGGCCCTCCTCGGGAGCCGGCCCGCGGGAGTTGCAGCCGCTGCGCAGCTCGGGGCCACCCAGGGAGCAGCGCGAGGCGTCGGCCGCGTGCGCGTGGCCCTTCCGACTCCGCGGCGCCTCCCAGGAGCCCACGAGCACGACGGTGGTTGCGCAGTTTCGCAGCCCTCCAGGGAGCCGCAGGGTCTCGGATGGGTGCGCGTTGCCCCCCTGACTCCGCTGGACTTCCCCTTGGGCCCGCGAGCGCGGCGACGGTTGCGCGGTTCGCAGCCAGCCGGGGAGCAGCGCGGGAAGGGGCAGGGCGGAACAGGGGGGCGGGAAGAGGAGTGGTGGGGACCACGGTGCTCCATGCAGAAGGGGAACCCAGCACGGGAGGGTTTGGAAACAGGCAGGAGGGGTCGAAGAGGAGTGAGTAGGTGTTGCGTGCCTATCTTCCCAGTACGGCCCTCGATCTGGCCGTCGGCGTTGCTTCTGGCGACACGTCCCCCGTCAGGACCCTTAGCAGGGGGGTTCTGACAGCGTCCCGATCAACGCTTCCCGAGGGGTGTGGGCTCAAAGTGAACTCGAAGGAACATTGCGGATGTGATGTTTGTGGTGATGTGTTGGCCAAATTATCTCGCCCAACCAGCGGGTGGCAAGTTCCAGCGAGGCGAGCCCTCTCGAAGCCCTTCCTCATTGCCGCACTTGGCGCCATCCTTGGCGATCTTGGAGCCATCTTGAGGTCTCAGGGTCCCATAGGAAGCAAAAAGGAAAGACAGCCGGTATCATTGAACAACCATTGATGGTCTCTTGGAGGCATCTTGGAGGCTGTCTTTGACCATCTTGGGGCAGTATTCGGAGCCCTCTCGAAGCCCATCCGGGCCTCACTTGGAGCCATCTCGGGGGATTTTGAAGCCATTTTGAGGCCTCAGAATGAGATAGAACGCGCAAAGGAGAGACCGCCAAATAAATGACATACGCCAGGTTCTTGAATGAGTTGGCCCTCTTGGGGGCTGTCTTGGAACATCTTGGTAAACAACGGGGTTTTCTTGGGAGTATCTTGCAGCTTGCCGTCCACTGATCCCCTCTCCTGGGCCGGTCTGGGACACTTGGAGCCCCCTTGACTCGCTCCATGAGCGCTTCAGAGAGCCCTGAACCACCGCCCATGAGCGAAACCATGTCTGACCCGACCGTGCTGGAGATTTAGCAGGAACCTTGCCAAACCAGTTTTCCTCCGTGAACTCCCAGGGGCCACCATGCGCGCGCGAATTATTGAATATCCAGATGTTAAATATGTTACCGTATTGTCTCGCATGCTTTTACTTTGTTGGGTCGGCCCGTGTCTTATCGTCTGGTTAACGTGTCTCCCAAATGGGTGCTTTGGCACAGTGTTACCACATGCAGCGCGCATGGATTGCCTAATTGTCACTCAAAAATCTGATTACTCCCAGTCAGCCGAGGCTCAATGGGCACCGCTCCGCCTCGCTTTCCGTGCAGCCATCCTCTGCAGGTCAAGGAGGAGAGTTCCAGAGAGCTTGCGGACGCTACCAACGACAAGGGCTCGAAGGTTATTTGGTTTGGAGATGCAATGAGAGGAGTGGGTACAGGAGAAAGAGGATGAGGCGGATGATGAGGAGGAGGAGGCGGAGAAGTGAGCGGTAGAGAGAGAGAGAGATCAAGATTTGAGGAGGGGCTTCCTCGTCCTCGTCCACCTCCCGCCTCCCTTGTTCTCTCTCATCCGCGTCCTCGTTGTCGTCCTCCTCATTCCTCTTCCTTGTTCCTCCATCCATCCCTCACTTATCCTCCTCCCTGCCTCCCTCCCTCCTTGATCATCATTCCTCTTCCCTCACCCTCTCTTCCTTGACTCTCCCCTCTCCCTCCTGCGTCCTCCGCCTTAGACTCTCATCCCTCTTCCCGTTCCTCCTTGCCAGCTCTGTCTCACCCTTCCTATTCTCAACTTCCCGTCCCCCTCATCTTCGCATCGGCCTTCATCCATCATTATTATCGCCCCTCCTCCCTCCTCATTCCTCTTTCCTCCTCCGCCCTCTCCTCCGCCCTCTCTTTCTCCTCCTCCTCCGCCTCCTCCTCCTCCTCCTCCTCCTCCTCCTCCTCCTGTTCCTCCTCCTCCTCCTCCTCCTGTTCCTCCCCCTCCTCCTCCTCCTGTTCCTCCTCCTCCCCCTCCTCTCCTCCTGCTCCTCCTCCTCCTCCTCCGTAGCCATTCTGGCTCAAGCCATTTCGGCTCAAGCCCTTTCGGCTCAAGCCATTTTGGCTCAAGCTGGTCGGCGCGACCTGGGTCCCCAGGGCGGCGCGCGGCGGGCGCGCGCTCGAGTGCCACGGGGATCCGACACCGCCAGGCCCCCGCTGGGACGCACGGCTCCAAGCGCCTCCGGAGCGGCCGGCAGGACTTCGCGAAGTACGACTACGCCGCTTGGTCGTCGGACCGCAAGCAGTGGCATCAGGGGCTGTGCGGCAAAGGGCGAGCAACACGCCATCAGCTCCAGCGCTGGGATAAGGGCCTTGTGGCAGCTCAGTCGCAGCTCGCCGTCGCCAGCACCGATTCTCCGTGGAGGTTGGACGCAGCCCGTACATGTCCAACCCAGTGCGAGAAGGGGGAAGCGAAGCTGGAGCCAAAAGATGAAGGTCGAGCCCAAGGCCATCACCTACAGCGTTGCGATCAGGGGATTTCGGGGGCGAAGTCGCAGCCCGACGTCGCCAGGCAAGTTTTTCAGTCGAAGTTTGACACATCCCCGCACTGCGTGAGCGACACGAGGGAGGCGAAGATGGAGCCCGAGTTCTAGAACTACTGCCTTCGGAGCAACGCGTGCGAGAATGAAGGGCAGTGGCGGCTGGTTTCGCCACACTCCGCGAGAGCCCAAGAGGACAGGAACGATGAAGGACGAGCCCACTGCCATCACCTACTACGGTGGGACCCGGGCATTTGGGAGTCGAAGTCACAGCCCGACATCGCCTGCACAGGTTTCCAGAGTACGTTATATGCATGCCAGAAGTGGGAGGCAAAGCTGGTGCCTGAGAGCTACGCCAGCCTAGCGAGCAGCGCGGGAGCAATGCAGCCCAAGAGGAAGGCTACGCAGAAGGTCGAGCCCAATGCCATCATCCACAGATTTTTGGCATGTGGGCATGCGGGAGGCGAAGTCGCAGCCCGACGTCGCCTGCAAGGTTTTCCAGATGATGTCAGGCGCATGCGAGAAGTGAGGTGCGAAGCCGGAGCCCAGAATTACAGACACAGCCGTGGGAGCAGCGCGTGCGAGAGCACAGGGCAGCGGCGGCCGTGGTCGCCACGCTCGGTGCGAGCCCAAAGGAAGGGTACGCAGAAGGACGAGCGCAATGCCACCACCCTCTGTTCTGGAATCTGGGCACTTGGGAGGCGAAGTCGCAGACCGACGTCGCCAGCACAGATCCTCTGCGCTTGACTGGATCCCGTACGTCTCCGCGCGTGCGCGTGCGCGTGCGCGCTGCGTCTGCACGCGTGTCGGGCACCACCCCGCCCCAGGGGGGAGGTGCATTCTCCCGCGACGGGGCCCTTCATCACCCTTTTTGCGCGTTGGCAGCGTCTTGCTGTCTCTGCGGTTCTCCGGCGCAGCCTCGGCCGCAGTGGATAAGATTGGTGGCTCAGCGCCACGAGGTTTCGGGTTAGGGTCGGGCCGGCCAATCCTTAGCCTCCCTCTTCAGCCAAATCATGGTCTTCCTCCTCCTCCTCCTTCATCACTCCTCCTGACTCCCTGCGCCTGCTCATTCTCCATTCCTCCAGCAGCCCTCCCTTCCTGCTCTGTCTACCCCTCCCCCCGCCCTGGCCCTCGTCCCCCCCCGCCCCCCTCGCTAATCCTCCTTCCCATATTCCCACTCTCCCCATCTCCGCCCTGCTGGGGGAGGAGGAGGAGGAAAAACGGATGACGATTAGGAAATGAGGAGGGGAGGAGGCAGAGGAGGAGATGGAGGAGGAAGTTGAGGAGGAGGAGGAAAAAGAAGAGGAGGATGAGGGGAGGCGGAGGTGGAGGAGGAGGAGGAGGAGGAGGAGCAGGAGGAGGAGGAGGAGGAGGAGGAGGAAGAAGAGCAGGAGGAGCAGGAACAAAAGGAGGAAGAAGAGGAGGGTTGAGGAGGAGGAGGAGGAGGAGGAGGAGGAGGAGGAGGAGGAGGGGGAGGAAGAGGAACGGAGGGGGAGGGAGGAGGAGGAGCAGGAGGAGGAGGAGAACAGGAGGAGGAGGAGGAACAGGAGGAGGAGCAGGAGCAGCAGCGGCGGCAGCAGCAGCAGGAGGGGAGGAGGGGGGTGAGGGAAGGAGCAAAAGAAGGAGCAGGGGGAGGAGGAGGAGGAGGAGGAGGAGCAGGAGGAGGAGGAGGAGGAGGAGGAGGAGGAGGGGAGGAGGAGGGGGATGAGTGTGTGGTAGGAGGAGGATGCGGATGAGGAGGGTGAGCGGAGAATGATGAGCCCTTTTCATCAGGAGGCGGCACAGCCGCAGGCGTTCTGCGCTCAGCCATCTCATCGGCCCCCATGGGGGGAAAGGGGGGTCTCGTAGAGAGCGCGGGTAGAGCGCTGGGCGCAGGTCGCGACCCTCGGCGCCGGGTCCATCTTCGGCGAGCTGGCGGGACGCGCCCCCTCTCGTGGGGGGGGGCAGGCGGACAGACAGCAGCGCGGCCCGCCCTCAAAAGTAAAGGCCCGCCCCCCTTCGACCAGGTGTGGCATAGTTCGGTAGCAAGTCATATGAGACTTGTATATCCTAGCAGCTCTGACTTTGGAGCGCGTTAGCGTCGGCTAGCGTCTGGTCGATGAGACAGCGCCGATCTAGGGTCGATAAACACCGATGAGCGCCGATTTAGCGTGGACAAGTGTCGACGCTCCAATGAGTTGCCACAGAAGCTTTCCGAGGATGTGTTCTAAGGCTAGGCCTGTGGGAGTCCTCACTGGGCCCCTGGACCGTCAATTTGTCTTGACGCTTGTGTGATGCCTCCGCCCTTATTCTTTTAGGCTCTGAGTTTGGAGGGGGCCCAACAGCCAGTCCATCAGCTTTCATCATTGTTCAGCTGCGCGCCACAGGAGCGCGTGCGGCAGTGAGCAGGGCGCCGCTTGTCAGTCTGACTCGCCATTGCATGCGTGGCCGACCGAGGCAACGAGAAGCAACCAGTGGCATTCGGCATAATGTTGCATGCGTGGTTGTTTCCCTTGCTGGTCTGACGCCTGGTCTGGCGAGAGCTCTGTTCACGGTCTAGCTCGAGAATTTCAACGACCCATGTGCCTCTCTTACCTCTCACGTAGCATGCAGCTTGGGATGTGTGAGCCAGTAGTTGTATACCTCATTGGACACCCTCGAGCCAGGCTCGAACTCCGCGATCAGGTTCCGCCTTCGCATGGGATGTCTGGGTTCTGCTGCGCTGCAGAGTGCTCCCCCCCCACCTGCAGCCACATCGCACGACTCCTCCTGGAGCCTGAGGCCGCCAGCACCGCTCGTGAAGTGCCGCATGCCCTGAGCGCGGTCCCTCGTGTCCTCCCGAGGAGGACATGGGGAGAGCGGCCGCGGAGGAGGCTCCTCCGCGCCCGCTCTCCTCGGTTCTCCGCCCGAGTCGGTGAGTCTGCCGCGCCCTCTCGGTTGTTATTCGACGCCTCGTGCCTTCTGTTCGGGGCCGTCCAAGAGGAGGTTGAGTAGACTACGGGTGCGTGGAGATCATGATCGGGGCCAGGAGATCTCCTGAAATTTCAGGAGGGGGGCCTCTCTTTCTATTTCAACTCGTGTCCAGACCCCCCGCTGCGCATGCGCCCCGGGCCATGATCTGCGACTCCCCTGCTTGGACGCTCCCGATACGCCGCCGCCGACAACATAAGTGGTTGGCCCCCTTGTTGGATGGCCTGGCCTCCTAGCTGGGGCTACAGATAGGCCGACCAGCTTGTGCGGCGAATGTGCTGCCTAGAACATCAGGTGATAGTTGCCGGCTGCGGTTGGCGTGCCAGGCGGTAGGGCGCATACACATGGCTTCTATATCTGTGTGTCGCTTACAGCACGTGGGATGGAGGTGGACAGGTTGGATGAGGGAGAGAACGGGTGATCATGATAGTGCTTGCGATGGTAATGGCGATGCGGCCACCGGGAAGGGGGAGGGCCAGGAGCGAGGGAAAGAGAGGGCAGTTGCCCACCACCGACCAGGCTCCGCTGTACAACTGCCCGCGGTGCGCCACCTGCACAGCCGCGTCGCCGGTGGTGAGCGTCTGGGCGCGACCGGGAGGGGGGGCATGTTCGGCCACGTCTTCCAAGCTTTTTTGTTTTTTTTCTTTATTCCAAGCTCGTCTCTCCCCCCCTCCTTCGGTCCCTCCTTCGCCTCCCCTGCCTCATCCTCCCCCATGCCTCCTCTTAGCTTCCATGTGCCTCGTCCGCCCTCCCCTTTCTCGCCGCTGTCCCAGTCGTTTTCCCCTCTTCAAGTCCGTGCAGTCTCCTTTTCTCCTCCCACTCCTCCCTCGTTTCCTCCTGCTCCTCCTGCTCCTCCTCCGCCCCCTCCTCCATCTCCCTGTGATTTGTCATATCCTCTTTCCTCTTCTCCCTGTACGTCCCTCCCACCTCCTGAGCAGGCACACACCTAAGTCAGGAGGGACAGAAACACACAGACACTATTAATCGGACTCCCCAGAAAATATGGGAAAATATGGGAAGTGGGGGGGAAGACAACAACCCAGACAATATGAGAAAATATAGGGAATAGTTTATTTGTGTGTCCAAGGGCCCCTCCACTAAGGACAAACGACCCCGAGGCAGTCCACCGAAATCGCCGTCAGCGAATCACCGCCGCCGCCTGCCTTCTGGAAGCGCCGGCGTGGTGGAGTGCAGGGCGTCGGTGCAGTAATATTCGTGAGCTGCGTGTTACCCGAGTGGTTCCTGTCCAAGGCTCGCTCTCGACCCGCGGGTCAAAAAAAGTGTTACCCGAGTGGTCGTGGAATCATTGGTGCCTTCGTAGGCCCGTCTTGGGCTTTTTTCTGGCCTTCGAGGGCCTCCTAGGAATCCCTGGGCAGTTTGGAGTGCTCTTGGGCCACCTGAGGACACTCAAGGGCGGCATGGCGCCGTTGGAGGCCGTTTTGGGAGCCTCTCTGGAGCGCGTCGGAGACCTTCTGGGCCATTCAGGGCCGTGTTACGACTCTATCGGGCCTTCTGGGGACCGTCTTGAAGTCCTCTTCGGGCCCTTCGCTTCTCGGGCCGTCTTGGACGCTCTGAAGGACAGGAATGCGCGAAATAGATCAACTGCCACGTTTTCCAGGGACGTGCCCAACCTTTTCTACAGATGTGGTGGCCATCATCAGGAGCTCTTCATTCCAAGTGGTCGCGTGAACATATCTGTAGTCCCTGTGAACACTTCGCTAAAGAACACCTGTCCAGGAGGAGAAGGAGGAGGAGGAGGAGAAGGAGGAAGTAGGAGGGAGGAGGAGGAGGAGGAGGAGGAGGAGGAGGAGGGGGGAGGAGGAGGAGGAGGAGGAGGAGGAGGAGGAGGAGGAGGAGGAGGAGGAGTTGGAGGAGGAGGAGGAGGAGGAGGAGGAGGAGGAGGAGGGAGGAGGGAGGAGGAGGGAGGAGGGAGGAGGAGGAGGAGGACCAGGCTCAACGCCCTCCATTCACGCAATATCAGTCTTGCGATGCACGTCGGAAAAGCGGGCGGCCGGCGATGAGAACAGGCCGCAGGACATGATGACGGAGGTTTGAGGAGGGATCGCGCGGTGGCAGTTTGGCAGATCTCAGCCCCCCAGGGCGCCGCGAGGTCTGCCCATCGATCGTTGAAAGTAGGTACTTTGTATTCCCAGATTCCAATATACATTAAGCGCCTTCCTATTTCAATGATCGAGTGGCTTCGCCTTTTCTGTCCTCCCAAGGTGGCGGGCGGACACCCAATCTACTTTCAGCCCCTTCCTACTTGATGGTTCTACCTACTTCTTCCGACCGATGGGTAGTCTTGGCCTACGTAAGACACCACTGCGCTGGCCATGCCATCATGTCTCGGTTTGTTCAAGACACCACTCCGCTGGATCTCCCAGGAGTCTACTAAAGTGGCGATAGTTGCGCATCTGGCAGCCTCCCTCAGACCCGCGATGTCTCGCCTGCCTACCGTCTCCGCTGGACCTCCAGGAGCCCACGAACGTGGCGAGAGTTGCGCAGTTGGCAGCCTCACATGGAGCCAGAGGATGTCAGTTGAGGCGATGGGGGGTGCGGTGCTCTACTTAAAGCGGGAACCCAACGCAGGAGGGTTGGGAACACATCCATAAATGTTGCCTCGTGAGACCCTGTTGGGGTTCCTGGAACTTTCCTGGGCCGTCTTGTAGGGCTCCCAGGCCGTCGTCAGGTGCCTTCTCGGGAGCTTTTTGGAGGCCTCTTGATGGTCTCTCGAGACCTCTTGGGAGCCCATAAGGAGCGTCTGGCAGCCTCGGGGGCTGGTGTGGGGGAGAGTGCTCCCAGGGCCTTTCGAGTCCCCCTCTTTGGGGCCTTTCTTGGGACCCTCTTGGAAGCCTTTTCGGGCCCCCTCGGAAGCCTCTTCGACCCTCTGCGGGCTTGGGAACCTCGGGGTCCGTCTTGGAAACTCTTTGGATCGAAAAGGCGGGGATGTTAGGACCATGCCAAAAACCTAATCTCTTCAATCCTTTTGGCTTCTTGGACCGGCACCCGGGTCCCAAAGGCGGTCGCCCATTGCCCCAGCGACGTCCGCGATTCGATCGGTTCGATGTTGCGATCCCACGTTTGCACGCGGCAGCGATCTATTCGATACCCACATCCAACCTCGGCGGATCGAGTGCGTGTACGGTCCGATCGATTCCGTCGAGTGGAGCAGGTCGATACGCAGAATTCGAAGAACTCTGATGGCATAGCACCCGAGGGCCCAGAATGGAGCACGCGGGGCTTCTGAGCACGGCCCGTCACCCCCACTCGAGGCAGCGCCGGGGAGTCGCCAGGGAGGTTGTTTGCTCCGCCAGTGCTCCCGGGGGCTTGGCATCGCTCGGACGTGTGCATTTGGTCTCGGTGGGGACCATCGAGGAGCATCTTTGATCATTTAGCGAAACATACATGCGCGAAATCGAAAAATGTACGGGGAATGGACGTCCGAGCGATGGCGAGGGGGAGAACAGACTCAGGGGCACGGGGGTGCGGGGAGGCGTTGGACGCTACGGATTTCAAGATGCTGATGGTGCACGCCCGCCAGGCGAGAGCCTGGCAACGGCGCGGATGCGGCTGCAGTGCAGCATCGGCAGCGTCGGGCATTTCGCAGCATCAGTCGCCGCGTTTGCGAGGCATGTTTTGCAAATACTGTAAGTGTAATACCGTGCCACAATGTCTAAAGACGGGTTGGCATGTTGCACCGTTGAACGTATGCGTTGAGAAGTTCTACTGACGCGCCCAGCATTATTAATCGAATCGTTATTCAACGCATGCTGGGCATGCATTCGGTCGTAGTCAAATCAGGCACGTGTAAGTATGAACCTGGCGCCATTCCAATTAGGTGTTGTTTTCCAAGACAGTGCAAAGCAGCTCCGAGAAATGCAATGCTTGTACATTAATTGGCCTGATGTGGCATTGATCGGTGTTGCTTGGCCTTGCTTGGAACCTTCGCTTGGCGTTGCTTGGCAGTGGTTGGCATGTGTTTGCGTTGCTTTGCACTGCTGGGCGTTGCTTGGCATTGCGTAGACTTGGTTGACCGTGCTTGGCATTGACAAGTATTGTGTGTGTCGTTGTCTGGTGGTGTTGTGCGTTGCTTGACATTGCTGGGCATTCGTCGAGATTTCTCTTCGTTGCTTTCCATGGCGTGAAATCATTGGTTGGCATTGCTTGGGATTGCTTTCTATTTTCTTGCACTGCTTTGCACAACGTGCGTCGGTTGGCAGTGCTTCGCAGTGCTTCGCAGTGCTTGTCGTTGCTAGACATTGCTTGGCGTTGCGTGTCATTCCTTTGCAGTGTGTTGCACTGCTTGGTATTACTGAGCGTTGCTTGGAGTTGGTTGACGTTGTTTGCATTGCTTGGCATTGCTCGGAGTTGTTCGGTACCCGAACAATGCCGAGCAATGCCGAGCAATGCTTGGAACCCGAGGATTGAAGCAAGGAACCAAGACCGAGGCGCCAGGGCAACGCAGGGCGCCGCCAGTGCAAGGCATCAAGGGCAAGGAACCCAGCAACGCCGAGCGCCGGCAATGCAAGTGACCAAGACTGAGGAATGGAACCCAATCAAATCCATGGAACTGGGGCGTCGCACCCATCGGCTTCGTACACGAAACAAGTAGGAACTCTTTAGGACAAGCCTACGTGGGGAATCATGGTAGCATCGCGTTCGGCGCATTCCCGAGTGCGTTCGCCTTTAATTTTGTGTCTGTTCCATGTGAGCACAACAGAGGCAGAGTACGAGAAGTACGAAGGGTGGCTCCACAATGTGGATATCCTCAGGACGACATACTCCTGCTTGGGCTTCAGCAGGAAATCACATGCTTTCAGATACACCCACAGTGGCCCTTCCTCCTCCTCCGCCTCCTCCTCTTCCTCCTCGTCCTCCTCCTTTTCCTCCTTCCCCTTGGTCCCTCAGACCGCCCTCATTCGCTCCTTCTCTCCGTATTCCCTACCTTCCATCCCGGCCTACGCTTCTCTAACACTTCCTCTCCCACTCACCGATGCCTCGTTTTACCCTCCTTTTCCCCTCTCTCCCTCGCAGGGGCTCGCCGACTGAGTGCAGCCCCGAACTGCAATTCAGCACGTCGGTTCCATGTTGTCCGCCAGCGCGCACGACGCGCCATCGGAACGCACGCACTCCGTTGTCTGCTCGTGGGTCGCCACCCCAGCTCCCGCACCGTGCAAAGCAGCGGACGGCATTGCATTCTTGTTGGCGCTCCGTGGCAGGCAAGATGGTGCGAAGTTTTTGCGGTGGACCCAGGGCCGGTCAGGGTAGGGGGCAGACAGAGCAGGGCATCGTGTCTAAAAAAAAGTTGGCGGAAGACAGCCGCCTGGATGCATCCCAACGCCCAGGGCTGCCCATTACCCGGGAGGGTTTCCGGGGCCCATAGCCATACATAACATATGTGATCAAATAGTTCCACATCGCCAAAGTGGGGCATACAGGGGCCCTAAGTGGGCATACATCACCGCCGGGGTGGGCCGCGGGAGACATTGGGAGGCCCGTGCAGTCCAGGGCGAGGGGGTGGAGCCTGGGGAGAGGAAAGCAGGCTGATTTTCAAGGTCGGAGCTGCAAGTCAGTTCTCCAATAAGAAGGTCTTGGGGAAGTGCACATCGTCCTCGTCATCCTCTCTCACCTCTTGCCTTCAGGCATCAGTAGCCTTACTCTGTAGTCTAATCGAAGACCAACAGCGGGCCTTAGTTCCCCACTGATTGGAATAGCAAACTCATCTATCCACTGTGTACCACCCTCCACTCCCTAGACCCCACACGGCGCCGTCGTAATTGGATAGTTCGTTGATCACTTGACAGGTCGGTCGTGCCAGTCGCTGGCCCTTGCTAGTCCCACGCAGCCACGGCCTTCAAGTTTAGAGCATCGGCGGTCGGGTTGGTCCCTTCTGGCTTCCGGCCGTTGCCTCGATCGCTGCTCAGCGCGGCCAAGCTGTGTCTGAATGGTGGTAAAGATATTGTGGGATCCAAATCACCAGAAGCTCGTTGGGTCGGGGGCTCACGTGCGGTACAGCGGGGACCTCATGACGCAAATGCCCGCCAGCCGTTGCATGAATCGTCCACTGTTTCACTGTCGCTGCACTGTGTGCGTGCGTGTGTGCTTGTGTGGGCCGCCCGAGGCCCCGCCCGCCCGCACCCTGTCTCCCCAATTAGTGCTTTGCGCGCCCCGCCTAGCTCTTAACCAGAAGAGGCCCGCTCTCGACCCGCCGACCAAAAATGCGTGTTTGTGTGAACGTGGGTGCGTTTGCTTGTGTGTGCTGATCGCGTGTGGGAGCGCAGCAGCTCTCGCCCCCCCCGCCGTGCCGCCGCTGCTCCTGGCCCTGCGCCCCGCGTCGCGTGCCGCCCGCGCGAGCCCCCACCTGCGGCTGCCGCGACGCTGGGCGCGCGGCCGCCGTGTGTGTGTCTGTGTGGGTTCGCGGGCGTGCGGGTGTGCGGGGGTGCTGCGTGTGTGTTGGTGTGCGGCGAACTCTGCCTCGCCGCCGTCGGACAACAGTGCGTGTTGGCGTGCGGGTGTGCGTGCGGGTGCGTGTGCATGTGCGTGTGTGTGTGTGCGCGTGTGTGTGTGTGTGTGTGCGTGTGCGTGTGCGTGTGCATGTGCGTGTGCGCATGCTTGCGTGTGTGTGTGTGTGTTTGTGGTGTGCGTGTGCGTGTGCGTGTGCGTGTGCGTGTGTGTGCGTGTGTGTGTGCGCTTGCGTGTCCGTGTGCGTGTGCGTGCGTATGCATTCGTGTGTGCGTGTGTGCGTGTGTAGTGGTCCTTGACGTGCCCTTCAGCCAGTCGTCTGGCCATGGCATCCCTGTAGCTTCCGTCCGCCTGTGTCCCCTTCGTCGTTCTGGCCACATCGTTTTCATACCGGTCGGTTCGTCTGCCCCCCCTCATCTGACCCCCCCCCGTCATCCATGCCCCGATTATTTATGCTTGGTTGCCAGCGCTGCTTGTTCCAAGCGGCCTGAAGGCTCGGCCTTTAGCGCACGTGCGCGACCGCTTCTTCGACTTTTCTACGCCCTGTCGCTGCACGCGGGGCCGCGACGCCAAAAGTGTGTGTGTGTGTGCGGTGTGTGTGTGTGTGTGCGGGCGCGGGGTGTGCGCGTGTGTGCGTGCTTCTGTGCGTGCGTGAATATGTGTGTGCGGTTGCATGTGTGTGTGTGGGCGTGTGTGTGTGTAGTTGTGCGTGTGTGCGGGTGGATGCGTGCGTGCGTGCGTGTGTGCGTTTGTGTGTGTGCGTGTTTTTGTGTTGGTGTTGGTGTTATTGTTACATCTCGTGTGCGTGTTGTGGGTGTTCTATGTTTGTGTGCTGTGTATGTGTGTTTGGGTGTTGTGTGTATTGTGTGAGTTGTGTTGTGTGTATGCATCCAAAACAGTGCTTGAGGGCAAGGACTCCGCGCGCCATGTTTGTACGCGTTATCCGCCTCGCCGCCGCGCGCGAGGCCGCGACCGCCAAACATGTGTGTGTGTGTTGTGTGTTGTGAGTGTTGTGTTGTGTGGTGCGTGTGTCTGTGGCTGTGGTTGCGTGAGAGAGGCGCGCGATTGCTGCTGCAGACTTTCTCCGCCCCGTCGCTGCGAGCAGGGCCGCGACGCCAAACAGTGTGTTCGCGTATGTGTGTGTGTGCGTGTGTGCGCGTGTGCGTGCGCGTATACGTATGTGTGTGTGTTTGTTTGTGTTTGTGTGTGCGTCCCGTCAGGCCTTGTGCTTGGTGATAACATGATTGCCATGACCCCTCCGTAGTCAACTACCCAGTTGCATTCAGCAGATCCTTCCACCGAGCCAGTGCAGCAGCGCAGCAGGAAGAAGGTCTAATGTCAGACCCGCTCCAGCCCAGTGCATTGTTTGAACTGGCGCGGGGTTCATGACCACCCCTCCTCGTCCGTAGCTTCTGTATATATTTATGTATATACATAATCCGTGTTCTTATGGCATCGTTTTCCTTATCGGTGGCATCTGGGAGGTGTCCTGAGAAACTTGGGCCTCTTATATGTTCTCTGGGGCCATCTGGGGTGCCTCTTGGGGACCCGTCGTGAGTCTCGGGTCCGTCTTAGGCGCAATTGTTCCACAGTGCTCCCTCGAAGAGGTTCGATCGAATCACCTTGGGCAAGGAGTGGGGCTGGCGTGTAGCTCTCTTGGGCTATTTTGGGGTGCTGTCGCGAAGTCTTGGGGCTGCCTTGGGGCGTTCTTGCGTTCGTGTTGGGCTGTTCGGGGTTCCTGTGGGCGCTATCTGAAACCTCCCCGAGGCGATACGACGACGAACAGCATCGGATCAATACACACATTATGATGCCTTGTGTGTGTTCACCGTTGTTCGCCTCTGCGGGCATCGCTGGGGGCCTCTCCGGACATCTCTTGGAGGCCTCTTGGGGCATTTTGTGGGGACCTTTTAGCCTGCTGGAGCTAGTTGGGCCGTCTTGCATCGGGGCTGTATGGGAACGTCGTGGGAGCTTTAGGGCGCTCTCGGAAGCCTGTCCGAGGCGGCCTGAAGCCGAAGTGCTTCGGAGGTAAACGTAGTTGATGTTCAATATTGTTTCCCATGTGTTCGCCTCTAAGGGTCTCTTTTGAGTCATCTCCAAGCGTCTCCTGGTGGCCCCTAGGGGCATCGTATGAGGATGTTGGAAATATGTGGGGCTCGTTGGGCCATCTTTGGATGTTGATAAGGTGTTTTGCAGCTCTTTAGGGCGGTGTTTCGCTGTTTTGGGTCCGTCTGGAAGCCGAAACTTGAATCTCGCGCTCTTGGAGGCTGTCTTGGGGCGCTTTCGGGGCCGTCCGAGGAGCTTCTGGGCACTCTCTGACCCTCTCCCGAGGCGATCTGGGGCCGAAAAGCCTCGGAAGCGAACGACATTGATTTCCTATATCTTTGTTGACTTCGCCTCTGAGGGCCTCATGTATTTTACTCTACATGTTTTCTATATGTTTGTTTACTTGTGTTTGACTTCTATATGTTTGTTGACTTCTATATTTGTTGATTTCTATGATTTCTATATGTTTGTTGACTTCTATATGTTCAACATGTTTGTTGACTTCTTCCTGGACCCCTTCGGGGGGCTCTTGGCGGCCGCTCGGGCCGTTCGGAGGCAGACGTTCTGAGACAATGCTGGGCCGCCTCGGCCCTCCTTCGGCCGCCTGGGGGCTGTCTCGGAGAGTTCTTGCAGCACTCGGACGTGGATAGACCTCCTACCCTGACACGTCGATTAAGGAATTGTTGTCGCTTCGCGAATCCCCACCAGCCCATCCAGAAACGATGCCCAGAGGAATTGCCTCGATCAGAGAAGTGGGCAGCACACAGAGGAAGCCATTATGAGACATCTTGGGATATCTTGAGCCATCTTGGAGGTCATTTTGGGCTCTCCCAGACGCTCTTGGAGTCATCTTAATCCGTGCCCCCCCCCAAGAGGCCTCCATGTGGCTAAAACCTGTGTAGAATCAATGATTAGGCATTCTCGCCGAGGCCTCTTGGAGCATCTTGGGTGCATCTGGGGGGGCTCTTGGGGCCTCTTGGGGGTCTCTTGGGGGCCTCCGGGGGGCCTCTTGGGGGCCTCTTGGGGCCATTTTGGGGCCATCTTGGGACCTCTTGGGGCTTCCTGGGCGCTTCTTGGGGCCATCTTGGAGGAGATCGATCAAACAAGAGGGGGGGTTTAATTAGCGTCCCCCCTCGGAAGCCCCTAAAATCGCCTCTTGGACCCCTCTTGGAACGCTCTTGGAGTGCTCTTGGGCGCTCTTGGGGCCGTCTTGGGGCTCTTTTGGGGCTCTCTTGGGGCCCTCTTGGGCCATCTTGGAACCATCTCCAGGCCTCGGATGGCCATCGGAAGCGAAAAGGCGAGAAAGCAAAAATCATTGATTTTCCTTAGGTTTTGGGACGATTTTGGCCTCTTCGGGGCCTCCTTGGGGAGCTGTTTGGCCACTTGGAGTTATCTTGGGGCCGTCTTTGGGCTTCTTGGAACCATCTTAGGAGCCATCTCGAGCGATCTTGCGCTATCTTGAGCCATCTTGGAGCTCATCTTGGGTTCTCTGAGGCGCTCTTGGAGCCGTCTTGGGCCATCTGGGACGCTCTAACTACCCGCGGCCCCCCCCGTCCAGGTCCAGGGGAGGGGGTAGGGGGAGGGGTAAACCCCTCCCCAAGGGGGAAGAGGGAGGGGTGGAAGAGGATCTGCTCTAGACCACCTACGCCCAGAGGGCTGGTGGGATTCTCCTTGCTGTCTGCCTCCTCGTCCTTGTCCTTCTGCTTCTCTCGTGCTGTCTGCCCCCTCGTCCTCTTGTCTTCGGGGGTGGATAGATCTCCTACCCTGACACGTCGACTAAGGAGTTTACCGCTTTCGGTTCGCGAGAGGGCGCCGCGGCCGTCATTTCTGCGGGTCCAGGTCCGTCGGTTTCGGTCCCAGGCCGTTTTCACTAAGGCGAGGTTTCCTAAAGGGAGGGTTGTCCACCGCCGAACGTTCTGAGACAATGTGGGGCCGCCTCGGCACCCCTGCGGCCGCCTGGGGGCTGTCTGGGAGAGCTCTTGCAGCACTCTCGGCGCGGTCTTCGCCTCCTCTCGGTGCCGCCTCTGGAGTCGGGGGCGGACAGAACCCCCAACAGTGACACGTCGAGTGGTGCATTGTCCGTGTTCGGTTCTCGAGAGGGCGCCGTGGCCGCTCTTTTCAAGGCCTGCGCCCGCCAGGTTTGGGCCTCGGGTCGCTTTCACTGAACCACGTTTTACTCAAGGGGGGTCTGTCCATCCCCGATTTCAGCTCGCGTGGGCAGAGAACCCGGGAGATCTTAGGCACATGCACTCTATCCGTTTTGATGCTGGAATGCTTCTGCAGCACTGGTCCGGTTCTCAGAGATGTCGAGTTATCCCGATCCGATTTTGTCCCGATCTTCGCGTCGTTCTACGTTACTTTCCAGGCTTGCGCCCGCCAGGTTTGGGCCTCGGGTCGTTTTCACTGAACCACGCTTTACCAAATGGGGGCCTGTCCGTCCCCGACTCCCGGAGGCCGAAGGACGGCGCCGGAGCGCAGAGAGCCAGGGGAGGGGCGGTGTGCTCGCAGGGCGGTGTCGAGGCGAGCCGTGGGCACACCGCAGAGGCCGGGGGGCTCTCCCCGAGCAGCGCGCGCGTCCACGCGGCGGCGGCCGCCCGCCCGTGGGTGGGGGGGGGCCCTCGCGGGAAGCTCGGTCCTGGCATCGCTCGGACGTGTGCGTTTTCTCCTCGGCGAGGGCCATCGAGGAGCATCCTTGGATCATTTTGCGTCGGCCGCCCGCCTGTGGGGGGGGGGCCTGGCGGAAGCCCCATCCGTGCCCTCCTCTGCTCTTGGCATCGCTCGGACGTGTGCATTTTTTTCCCGGCGAGGGCCATCGAGGAGCATCCTTGATCATTCTGCGTCGGCCGCCCGCCTGTGGGGGGGGGGGGCCCTGGCGGAAGCTCGGTGCTCCCCATCCGTGCCCTCCTCTGCTCTTGGCATCGCTCGGACGTGTGCATTTTTTTCCCGGCGAGGGCCATCGAGGAGCATCCTTGATCATTTGGCGAAAAAACCACGCACGAAGCCGGAAAAAACACAGGGAATGGACGTCCGAGCGACGGCAAGGGGGGGGGGCCCTGGCGGAAGCTCGCTGCTCCCAATCCGTGCCTCCTCTGCTGCTGCTCCTCGGAAACTGGAGCACTTGGCATCGCTCGGACGTGCGCATTTTTTTTCTCGGCGAGGGCCATCGAGGAGCATCCTTGATCATTTGGCGAGAAAACCACGCACGAAGCCGGAAAAAACACAGGGAATGGACGTCCGAGCGACGGCAAGGGGGGGGGGGCCCTGGCGGAAGCTCGGTGCTCCCCATCCGTGCCCTCCTCCTGCTGCTGCTCCTCGGCAACGTGGAGCATGCATCGGGCCGGACGAAAGGGGGGGATTGGGAAAGGGGGGGTTACGAAATTTGCTGCATGCAGCTGGTCTCGGCCTCACCGAGGAGCCCATTCCTCGATACATAGCCGCCTCCGGCGCCGGGAGGCGCTGGGAAAATCAGCTACGTGAGCTAATTCTCCCCCCCCCCCCTTTGCTATCCCCCCCTTTCGCCCGACCCGAATGCAGACTGCCAGTGGCGGGCTGCTCTTCAGTGCCAGAGCTTCCTGGAGGGTCGGGGGCGACGTCGGGGCTGTGTGGTGCACACTCGTGTCCCCGCTTTCCGGGGGAAGCAGCGAGGACGTATACGCCAGGGCCCCGTATACACCAGGATCCATTTCCTCGTGCGAATGTCAATGCAGGGCCAGAAACAGCGTCGGCATGTATATATATATATATATATATATATATAGATTTCGGTTCCCTACCTCCTGGTCCTCGGGCCAGGCTTGGCTGTGCTTTGCCGCGGGCATCCGCCCAGGTTGGAGCCGTCCGCCCCGTCGAGCGCCCTGGCCCCTCGCAGGACGCTGTCCGAGCGCGACCTGGCCATGCTCGCCGACGCCCTCCGGGTGCCCTCCCCGCGCGAGCACGGCCGCCGCGTCCCTGGGTCTACCCAGCATTTTCTTTGGGTGGAGGGCAAAGGGTGGAGTCTGAAATGCCGTCTCGATGGATCTTCGAGGCTTGAATCTGCAAGAGGTGAATCACAAGACGAGGTGATTTTCGAGGTACAAACGCCCATATGGCTTTCACCCTGAGCCCTCCACCCTGAGAAAATGCTCAGGTCTAGGCCTCCCCGATGGGGTTGGAGCAGGCGGGGCCGGAGGATCGCGCCGCACCGCCGATGCGGCTCGCGATGCGGCTCGCGATGCGGAGCCCGCCTCTCTCCACGCCGGCGCCGCCGATGCACCGACGACGTCGCCGATGCATCGCCGATGCGGCGCGGTCCCTCGAGGCCCATCCCCTCTGGGCCCCATGGAGGCTGCCGCCGCGGGGTGCCGGGAGGCGGGCGGTCGGGGGCGTGCCCGCCGAGGGGGCGAGGCCGGCGAGGGGGGCGAGGCCCCGCGGCGAAGCGGGCGGCTCTGCGACGGGGCGTCGCCCGCGCGCGGGAGGGGCCACTCTCGAACGCTGGGCGAGGGCTCGAAAGCGGGATGACAGCCTCATTGAGAAGTCCTTCTCGTTCGGGGAGCAGGCAGGCAGCGCATGCAGCCGCAGGTCGCCAGCGGCCATCACCAAAGGGGGGGAAGGGAGTGGGCTCCGTCCTCCTGGGCATCATCATCATTTTTTGCGTGTTCGGCGCAGCGGTCGGCTCTGCGATGGGGCGTCGCCCGCGCGCGGGAGTGGCCAGTCTCGAACGCTGGGCGAGGGCTGCTAAAATCGGGTCGGGCGAAAGGGGGGGATTGGGAAAGGGGGGGTTACGACATTTGCTGCATGCAGCTGGTTTCGGCCTCACCGAGGGGCCCATTCCTCGATACATGGTCGCCTTCGGCGCCGGGAGGCGCCCGGAAAATCAGCTACGCGAGCTGATTCTCACCCCCCCCCTTTGCTATCCCCCCCTTTCGCCCGACCCGATAAAATCAGAGCGTGGATTACCTACCCCGCTTTCGCTTCCAGGCAAGACCAAGTCACACCCAGCGCCGCCTCGTCCAGCGTTCTGAGCAGTACGGGCCGTAGTTTGGCATCGCTTGGCATCCCTTGGAAGCGGGGGTGGTCAAAAGCGAGGTAGGTTTGTTTGCCCCCTATAAAGCCGTGGCCGCTAAAACGGCCCTCCCGGAAGAAAAGCACAGCTTCCCGGAAGGAGGCGCGGCACGCGAAACGTTCGACGGACTCCTTCCCGGAAGGACGAAGATAACTTCCCGGAGGGCGATTTTAGCAGCCACGGATTCAGCAGCCCTTGCCCGGCTTCCGACATTCGCCGGAGTGATTTGCGGCGGGCAAACTGGGGTCCTCCGATCGCCGAGCGCGATGCGGCAGTGGCGTCCTGCGCGCCTGTGCTTGTTCCCCCGCGCGGCGCCCCCAGCGGCCGCGCACTGAAGTTCTTTCTTACCCAGGGTCGCTCTTGCGTGTAGCCGAACACGCGAACACGCTAAGGCTACGTGACCGTTTCCTTACTGAGTGTTTTGCCGAGGCCGATCAGGACGCGACTCGTCGTCTTCTTTCGGGCGCGCTGCGGCAGCGACTGCTGCGCAGTTGCTGGTCGCGAGATGCATGGCCGCGCATCGCACATTGAAGCTCGAGTGTAGCCCGATCTTGGAGGCATTCTGGGTTCTGATCTGATCTGATGGTTTTGCCGATCGGCGCGGGCCCTCGCCCCCCCCCGTTCCCCGCCCCTCCGCGCGGAGCAGATCTCGGCCGTGTGCGGCGCCGGTTTCAAGCAGGTGGGGCCCCCCGCATAGGACGCACTGCTGCAAACAGTGCGTTGCGCAGGGGTCGGGGGCCAGACACCCCCTCCCGCCCCCCCACGTGCGATGGGAGGGTGGGCCCCGCGTCTTTCCTGCTCCCTGGGGTGGCCGCTGCCGTCGTCTGCTCCTCAAGCTAAGGACCCGTGGAGGATGTGCAGCCGCCCGTCGGTGATTCCCCCAAGACGCACTGCTGGATACTGCCCCCCCACATGCCGCCCCTTCTCTCGGAGCTCGGGTGCGCCTCGCCTCCAGAGGTGCCAGCGGTCTGCGGCGCGACGCAGAACGTCGTGAGATCAGTTTACCTGTGAGATTCGGGCGGGTGGTAATGTTAAGTCGGGCCTGTCCCTGTACAGGCGGAATATCCAACAATAGTCAAACAAACAGTCCGGGGACGTTTTTTTTGAGCACATGCTTTGACCATTCTGGGGTACGTGTCTGACTATGTCTTATTTGTCGTCCAAAATCCCCCTGTAGGAGGACATGCCCGATCTAGTGGCAACGGGGGGGGGGACCTGAGTGGGGGGGCGGAAAAGGGGGGGGGGATGACTAGGGGGGGTGGATATCATGGCGGGGGCCATGATATTCCCCCAGATGTCGTGGCGCCTCTTCTTATTTCGTTACGTCCCTGGCCCCCCCCGCTGGGCCGCGCACATGCCGCCAGTCATTGTTTGCACCCCCCCCTCTTGGACACCCCCCTCTTGGCCGCTCCCGGTGAGTGGGGGGGGGAACGTCCTGAAGGGGCCTTGCAGGCCACTCTGGGGCCCCTGCCGGCTCCACGGGGGGCCCTACAAAGTGGCCCTGCCCTGCCCCCCCCGTGTCGGCCACCCCCCACTACCACCCGCCCGAGAGGTGCACGCTGCAAGCCGATGTCAGACCGATCAGGAAACAACGATCTATATATATATATATATATATATAGATTTCTATGTGTATATATATGTATGTATACATATGTATATACATATGTATGTACATATGAACATACATATATACATATGTATATATCTATGGGCTACCGCTACTCCAGTGCTTCGGGCGTGAAGGTCTGTCGGCTCATGGTGCGACCTCCGTTTTCAGAGTGGGGCGAGCGTCGTGCAGCGAGCGCAGTCGTGCTCCACATCTCAGTCGTGCGCACAGTCGGAGGAATGGAGCCGAAGAGAAGGAGGATGAGGACAGCGTGAAAGATCAGATGGTAGGTGTGGGATAACAGAGACGATAATGAGGATGAGGAGGAGAAGGAACAGGACGAGGGAGGGAGGAAGAGGAGACATTGGAGGAGGAGAAGGCGGAGGAGGAAGAGGAAGAAGATGCCGATGGCGAGGGGAACGGTGATAGGAATGGAGCAGGCGAATAGGGGTGGGAAGGGAGGAGGCATGAAGACGAACGAGGGCGAAGAGGATGTGGATCGGGTGGAGCGGGTCGAGGGGGAAGATGAGGATGTCGAGGAGTCGCAGCGCGCTCATGGCAGAAAGCTGTGATGCGCCTCTTGTGCTACTGTCAGGTGCACCGTTTTCGCAAGGGCACGGTCATCCTAAGGCGTGCTTGTCTGTCTGTGTTGTTACCTTGGCCGTCTCTGCTTGTCGGGCCTTCATCGTTTCGCTCTGCGTCTCTGACGGTGTTCCCGTTGTCGAGCTGCATTGGGGCTGCATCCAGAGAGGGCGTGGTTGGCTCGAGAGGTGTGCCGCAGCATGCCATGCAACCGTGTGGGGATGTAATGGGTGTTGCTTGTGAGTGCGATGGGCGGGTGCAGTGGGAGGAGGAGGAGGAGGAGAAGGAGGAGGAGGAACACGGGGACGAGGACGAGGACGCAGAGAAAGGATGATGATGATGATGATGATGAGGAGGAGGAGGAGGAGGAGGAGGAGGAGGAGGAGGAGGAGGAGGAGGAGGAGGGGCGGCACTGGAGGTGTCAGGCAGTTGGAAGCTGCAGGTGCGCGGCCGAGGCGAATCGGATGGCCCCGGGCGCAACACCGACGTCGACCGCCCTCGTGCGCGACGCGCGCGCGCTTGGGCGCGGCGAGGCTGCCCACGGGCGCGAGAGGGTTCCTGCCCCGGGCACGCCTGGCCCGCGGCAGAACGAGCCTCCCCCTCCTCCTCCTCCTCCCCTCCTCCTCCCTCCTCTCCTCATCCTCCTCCTCCTCCTCCTCCTCCTCCTCCTCCTCCCTCCTCCCCTCCTCCTCTCCCCCTCTCCCCCTCCACCTCCCCCTCCCCCTCCCCTCCCCCTCCCCTCCCCTCCCCCTCCCCTCCCCCTCTCCTCTCCTCCTCCTCCTCCTCCTCCTCCTCCACCTCCTCCTCCTGTCGATCCTGTCGATCCTTGCGCAGCCAAGCTCCTCCAGGCGAGACAACTGGGCGGCGGGCGACGGCGAGCGACGCGAAAACGAGGCCAGGGCCAGCAGGCGCGCGACCGCACAGCTAGGGCCCCGACCGATGGAGGGGTACAGGCCGACCCACGAAGGATTTGGTGGACGGATCCTTCCCCTCCTTCAGCTGCTTTAGGGTCTTCTCCGCTGGCTTGTTGGGAGGCGCGCCAGGGCACGGACCTCCCAATAGGCACAGCTTGACAGACCCAAAAGCAGCGCACGAATTACACCAAACAACACGCCCGCCGCTAATCCAGAGCTTATGGCTGGAGTGGGCGAGCCTGGCAAGCCTGGGGAGGCCCGAGCACGGCAGTGCACACACTGACGCCTCTGAAAACCCCGCGGCTCCACAGTTCACACAGAGGTAGGCCCCCTTCCCCTTCGTGCCCGTCCTGTGGACAGCATGCCCCTTGAAATCACAGACCAAAACTAAAGGGTCATGCTTGGGGCGGGGGGGGGCCTTACATTTCTGGACATCGGGGAAATTCTGCTTGCTGAGCATCTCCCCAAAACACGCAATGAACTTACTGAAGTCTGCTACCTCCGAACTTCTCTGTTTCTGGAGGGCGCGGAGGCGAGGATTGCAAGGGTGCTCCAGGGCTCCGCGCTTCGCAAGACCGTCAGCAATGCCGTTGCCGACCCAGGCCCAGTGGGGGGCCTCAGAGGTCTCTAGACACCTGCTCCAGGAAATGTGACTCTTAATTTTGTGCAGGCAGATCATTCCTAGACCTATATCTAGAACACGATCCCATACGAGCTCCCAGACCTCCGAGAACGCAACCTCAGACATGTCCGACTCGGGCCCGCGGGCCCACACGTCCAAGACGGCCTGGCAATCAGTGTAGATCTGGGTGCACTGCGAGGGCCCAATGAGCTTGAGGGCCATCAGCAACGCATACAGTTCACCTGCTCCTGATTCCTGGACGGGATGAGGAAGGGGTCCAAACGCACTGCCCTCGCAACGACTGCTCTGATCCATGGCTACCACTGCCCAACCTGCACGCGCTGCATACAGGGAAGTCGTGTCGAAACCTGAGCCGTCGATGCATATCCTGCTGCCTAGGAAACCTGCTTCTGGCACTTTATCCCACCGCCAGGTCTCGGCCGTGGACACCTTGGGCCAATCGTACCCTGGGTCTGCACAGAGCGCTCTCGTCGACAAGAAATCGTAGGCGCCCAGCTGCAAGCCTCTGTCCACGCACTGCGGCAGGTCTAAGTCCCGCCTAAACATAAAGAAACCATCACACTGGAATAAACGATGCTGAGGCGTGCCGTTATACATGCCGCATACCCTGCACAGCGGCGTGACGGCTCGCCTGTCCTGGAATAAAACATCCGGAGTGGGATGACCTCCTGCGACTACATTACACAAAAAGGCGGCAGCTGAGTTTCTCCCCGCTTTCCTGAGGCCTCTGAGGGTATCCATGATGGGCCCCGGGAGGGGAGGAACCACACGCTCAGGATCTTCGGGATCAGGGACCCCAACATGCTCCAGAAGCCTCATGTGTGTACTGTAGTCAATCAACTTAGTGAGGGTGCGCTTCCCGAAGTGGTTGAGGTCCAGTAGGAAGCCACGGCAAGACTCCCAGGTGTCCCAAGCAGTAAACCTCCAGCCCAGACGATCCAGGGTCGCCCACACAGCTCCAGCAGGCCCCCGAACCTTGTCCCAAGTCCTGGAGGCTGCCTTGGGGTAGGCCTGCACGCAGGCCCTCATGATATGCTCGGGGACCCATTTCTGTTTCACTGACTGTTGCCACATCTTGAGTGGCAGGAGGTTGGCCTGGAACACAGGGTCCAAGCCCTTGGTCGGGCCCGACAAAAACTGCAGAGTCCTGGAACGGCCCCTTCCTTTGCCGAACGATGCCTGACCTATGATCGAGCGCAGCTTCATGACCGTGGAAGTGTTCATGCCTATGACCGCTGTGCCGTAACAAGCTGCTGGCAATCCACCTGTCTTCACGACCTTGCACAAGCCAGAGTAGCCCGAGCGGAGGCCCCTAAATCGGCGAACTCGGGGCCCCAAACTCTCCCATCTCGATCCCTGGACTGGAGTTCGGCGCCGACCAGCAGTGTAGTCAACCCCTAGGTTGCGAGCTGACTTGACCACCTGGAAATTCCAACGCAATAGTCGTGTTTTCACCCGAACCTCAATGTCCCGAGAAGTCGCCGTGACCAGGCCTTTCGTGGGAGAGATCAGGAATCCAAGTTTCTCCAGGTTGCTGCACAGCGTAAAAGTAGCATCGGCCGCCGTTCTCGCCACCGCCCTAGCCTTACCTGTCGCACCACACGTAATATCATCAACAACATTGTAAATCCGAACCGAAGGGAACTTCGAAACCACATGGTCAAGCGGGTCGAGAAGGAGGCACTTTAGCAGGGTGGTGGCGAACGCACAGCCTGCCAAGATCGCCTGGATGCAGGCGACAAACTCAGAGCAGACCCTGCCCACTTGCAAGACCCTCTGGCCCCTGTACAAGCAGAGGAGGTAGCGCAGGCGATGCAGAGGGAAACCGTGCTTGATGGCCGCCGAGGCCAAGAAGAAATGAACCACCTTCTCATAGCACTTGGTCATATCGACCAGAACAGAAGCTGCTGAGTGCCCAAAAACGCACGCGTGCTCCATCCTAATAGCCTGCTCCCAAACCGCTCTTTCGCACGAACGCCCCCTGCTTCCGAAATGGTAAGGCCTGTCATGGGCCCGCTCCCAACGATCAGCCTGTACCCGAGAATATGTCCCAAAGCACCTGACGCTCCCTGACAAGATTCCGATAGGCCGAACACCACCTTCCTCGTCCTTGGGGATCATGGCTATGATAATCGTGGCCAGGACCCCGGGAAGCTTGCCGAGAGACTCCATCCAAAACCAGAGGGCAGCCACGCACTCCAGAGCCCCGTCGCTGAGGATCTCGAAATCCCTGGGGTGTGTCCTATCAGCGCCTATCGCCGTCCTAGCCTTGAACTTCCTGCAGCACTTTCGGATCTGATCGGGCGTGGTCAAGACCATGGGCTCCTCGGAGGACTCGGAGATCTTCTCTGTGAGGAGGCTGATGGGATCAGGGAGGTCCTTCATGCTGGGCTTGGGACTCCATATCTTAGCCCATTCGTCCATGAGGTCGTCGATGCGCCCCATGGGCCCCTTAGGGGGGCCCTCCCTTCGGGTTCGAAGGAACCCATCCCAAGGGGACCTTGGTGAACTTGTGGGCCAATCCAGCCCCATTGTCCAGACTTGTCTGGACCCAGGATCTCCAGGCCTTGCCCCGATCCGATTGAAACTGCTTTTCAAGCCGCTCTGCATTACGCTTGGCCTTGGCGCACAACTGCACGAGGCCACAGAAGTCGAGGCAACACAGGTCCGTCTCAGAGACTGCGCACTCTTGCCAAAAAGGGTCGGCACGGAGCGCTGCAGGCCCTTGTAGCACTTGGAGAACAAGTGATCTGGCATCTGGTCGGTCCAAAGGCACTCCTTTCCTGACGAGATAGCTAAGCTCCTGAATGTGGATGGACCACTTCCTCCAAGCTCTCCCTTTGGCCGAAGAAACAGGGTAAGCACCGCCCGAGACTGGTGCAGCTGGATGGATTTTAGTCTTCATTCCTTTGGCCCGACCGCGATACTTGTGCGCATCGCTCTTGTCAATGCCGTGGATGCCTATCATCTCATCCTCGAAAAGCTTGCAAAACCTAGCGTAGCCCCTGTCCAGAGCTGCCTGGTCGCCGCGCGCCTCGAGCTGAGCTAAACATGCAGACCAATCTGGAGGTGGAGGCCGCGGACCGAGCGGGGCTTCTCGAGGGAACACCTTCGGACCCACAAGGACCCTGGTCTTGAGCTCTCTGGGGGCACCAGAGAGGTCCAGCGTGACGGGCCAATGCGGGGCAGTAGTACCACGTTTGTCAATCGAGACAGCGTCGAACAAGGGCCCGAGCGACTTCGAGATGACGAAAAAGTCGATGGTGGTCCAGGATGTCGACGACTTTCGACATGTCGGCTCGGAAGTGTGGAAGATTGTGCCCCCAATCTTGCCCACCCAACCCGTGTCCGCAAGCAGCTTCGGCGATGTGTTGAAATCCCCTCCTATCACGAAGGGTAGCTGCCAACCATGGAGCTCCTCGCCAAGCCTGTTGAGGATCTGGAAACTGTTGAGGCCCAAGGGATCATCACAATCGAGATAGAGCGAAAAC